GGGTAGGACCCTTGAGGGATAATAAAGGAAGGCTCATATCTGATGATTAGGAGATGGCTGGGTTATTAAATTCTGCTTTTTCTTCAGTTTTTACTAACAAAGATTTAAGCAATATTCAATTGGGAAGTTTAAAGAATGGTAAGGCTCCTGGGCCAGATAATATTTCCCCAAGGGTTTTAAATGAGGTTAAGGATTGGATACGTGAGCCACTTGAAACTATTTTTTGTAAGTCCTTGAATAGTAGGCAGGTACCAGAAGATTGGAAGTTGGCTATGTTACTCCTCTTTTCAAGAGAGGTGATAAAAACTGTCCCAGTAATCATAGTTGTGAGAAAACTTTTGGAAAGTCTGATAAAAAAAATGCTTTGTGAAGCTATTCAACAAAGTTTAGAATTTTATTGGATAGTCAACATGGTTTCACTAAGGGAAAATCTTACCTTAAAAATATTTTGACATTCTTTGAAAAAGTTACTGCTTATGTAGATGGGGATAAGAGTGTAGATTTGATGTATCTGGATTTTCAGAAAGTATTTGACAATGTGCCACATAAAAGGCTTGTAAATATATTATCCTTATAGGTGTGGAGGTACAAGTTAATTAATTGGATAGAAGAGTGGCTGGATAAAAAATCAGAGGGTTGTTATAAAAAGAGTTCAGTCTAATTGGATTAATGTCATAAGTTGGGTACCTCTGGGCTCAATGTTAGGGACTTTGTTCTTTTGTATTTACATCAGTGACATAGATGAAAGAATGGTCAATACATTACCTAAGTTTGCTGGTGATATTAAGGTTTTTGGTGTTGCTAGCTGTGAAGATGCTGCTGCTTTACAAAATGATTTAAATCATTTTGTGATTTGGACAAATAAATGGTAGATGGGTTTTAGTCATAATAAATGCAAGATAATGCATGTGGGTTATCATAATTTGAATTATAAGTATGATTTGGATGGGAATAACCTTAACAGTTTTATGGAAGGGATCTTGGTGTAGTGGTTGATCAGTCTCTTAAGCCATCCAAGCAGTGTGCTGTTGCTAGTGGTATGGCAAATATGATTTTAGGTTGTATCTACAGAATTATTGAATACAAGTCTAAAGAAGTTATAATTTCATTGTATAGGTCATTGATTAGGCCACATTTGGAGTATTGTGTTCAATCTTGAGCTCATTGCCTTAGTAAGGACATTGAATTGTTGGAAAGGGTTCAGAGGATGGCTGCTAGAATGATGCCTGAAATGGAGGGGGTTAAGATTTCTGAAAATGTTATATCTTGAAAAAAAACAACAAATAAGTTAGAGAGGATCTGATTAAGGTGTTTAATATTGTTAAAGGCACTGATAGTGCCGATGCAACATCTTTTTTCATACTTAATGGTGAGAATGGTAGGACTAGGAAACACAAATACAAATTTTGGCAAGATAGGAGTCATCTTCAGCTAAGACAGTTTTATTATTTTAACAGTGTGGTTGGCCTTTGGGACTGGTTGCCATCAGCTGTTGGGGAGGCAGTAAATTTAAATGAGTTTAAGAGAAAGCTTGATAACTATATGAATAATAAGGTCTGGCTCCGAGTTTTTTTTTATTTAATAGTTTTAGTTTAGTTTAGAGAATGGGACAGTACAAATAGACCAATAGGTCCCTTGTTGTTCTTAAGCATTGTTTTATTAAGAATAACAATAAGATGCCTATAATCAATGATCAAGTACAATATTAAACTTGATAGTTTAGCCTTTAACCAAAAACACTGATTCAGTCATAAAGATATTGACATTTAGATGACAACTTCGAACAAGAGAATATTTCCTTGATCAATTTCTTATATAAAATTCTACATAAGTTTAGGGTTCAATATCTTGCTTTGAGAAATGTAGTGAAACCTTTTAAAATGTTGTATTGGTGTTGATGAAAAGCCTTCCTGAAAAAAAAGGCTAGTTTTGCTCAAGTCCATTCCACTGTGACCTTAGTTTGCACTATAAGAGTATTTTTCAAAATGTTTATTAGATCTAGGACACGCTGCTCACTCAGAAGAAACAACAATAAATGTTAGGCCAAAAACGTGTTTTGTTTCCAAGTTCCTATTAATTTTCCCATTTTGGAATCCAAATTGGAGGCATTTCAGATCTTTTGTTTCCCAAAAATCACTGCCGAAGTGGCCTTTTATTCAATACCAGAACTCATCAGCTGGACTAGATGATGAGAAACAAAAGATTCTCTAAAAAGCTATATGTATATATACAGTATAATGCATCAAAAGTTATGCTTTTTGTGATTTTTACCACATATTGGTTTCTAATGTTTGCAAAGGTTTCACCATTTAAATTATAACAATAAATGTTCTTCAACTACTTCTTACAAAATTTTTTGGTTGAGGTCTAATCAATCATATCTAAATAAGTCTATCAATGAATGATTCAAGAAAATAAAAGTGGTTACAATGGGATGATCTCTCTTTCTGATTAATCTCACCAGGAATTCCATTGTGACTGCATCCATAACATTTACATTTAATGCGAACATCACACCTTCCAACCGATACTACAGCAAATCATGACTTTCGAACATTTTCCCAGTGTGTATTGACTAGTTTAGGTAAATTACTTTGGAAAAGGCAATGTACTTTCACCAAAGTTATGATACCAACATGAAGATATCTCTGTCTGATGTGAAGCAATAAGCAGAAAAGTTGTAGTGTTGAAAATCTCTAAAGCTAACTTATTGTTGAAAGGTAATTTCTAGTGCTTTTTATCATTTGTCAGATATTGTGATGGCCAAAACAGCCTCTAATTTATATATGATTGACTCCTGGTTTTATAGTTTAAATAGAAATATAACAAAAATCATTATTAAATTACACTGATTTAATCCTGAGTAAGAATAAAAAGCTTGAGTGAAATTTTACCAAGGCCCAACTTATCAGTCCCTGGTGTTATATTTAGTCAATTGGTACTTTCCTCACTATCTAAGGGTTTCTAGCCACATGTGATCTTACAGATATAACACTTTTTGAATTTATTTAAATAAATTTAAATTTTCTGTATTTTCGTTTGCCTGTAAATTTTAAGGAAAGTTCTTCTTTTATTCAAATCCAATTGGTTCATTATAGTGATCCAGCTACGTAAGACTTCAATGCAAGTTTATGTTTTCATATTCTCCTGCCCCATGCTATTAATTTAGTTTTATAATAATTTCAGAACTTGTAGCAACACAATTTCAAGGAATTTGTTGAAAAGAATGAGATTAGGCAAGAAAGGTAAGATATGAGAAATAAACATAAAAAAATTTGTTTCTGAGAATTAGGGGAAATCGTCTACTTTTTGTATGTTATAAGTCTATGTTCTTTCGTGTATTATTTAATTAAATAGGGATTATTTAGTGTATTACAACCATCAGTATAAAAAAAAGCAGGGTTAAGTGTCATTGACAATTGATAGCATGAAAAAAGAAGATTGGGTAAGTACTTTATTTCTTGTTTTTCATATTTATTCTTTATTTATCATCATAAAAATAATTAAAATGTAAAAATAAGGATATTTCTAGGTTAGTTAAGATTAAATCAAGTAAGATTATTAACAATAATAATATAATAAAAATGTTTCACAAGTCACTCAAGTGTGCAGCTCATAGCAGCTTGTGGGTAACATAATTCAATAGTGTAACGTAAGCCGAGTGATTTACAACTTATAATGGTGAGAATAGTGGTTAGACATGGTTCAAAGGGTAATAAAACAATAAAATGTAATTGTAAGTAGATTTATACTGTTACAAGCTTAAAACTGCTTAAGATAAACAAATATAGTTTCATGTTACAATTTGAAGTCATTCTTGAAAGAAAAAAAGGGTAATTTAGATTTCTTTCGATTTTTTTTTCTGGTGGTTATGAGGCCAGTCAAATTGACCAATCCCATATGGAGATAGGGTAGAGGAAATAACAGATAAAATATGTAGTTTTACTGAAAAGAAACACTTTAAATGTATTTAGCAGGTTTTAGGGATTAAACAAAAGAAATTTTAGAATTTTGAGATGAAGAAAAGTATTTTTAATTTTAAAATGAAAATTACTTTGCACATGGACTATTCAAAACAAATACTCAATATATCAATGGACAGATCTTTATTTTAGTTTATTAAAAATACTTCACTAAAAATATGATATTTTGTATCTGAAAGACTTATGATGTGAAGATATACACACTATACTGAAAATTAGAAGTATTAAATCTATAAAGACTTTAAACGAGTACAAAGAGGTTACGTGGTTGGTCAAATTGACCAAGCCCATGTTGAGAGAGTTAACAAAGTATCTTTTGAATTTATAATATTCACATAACACAACAGTTGAGCAAATGGCTCATGATACCATATCATGTCTAGAAACTGGCAAACAATCTAAAAGTTTTATACTTGAGCAAAATTTTCTTAGTGCAGCTGCTTCTCAAGATTAAAATAACATATTTATTAGATGTAACTATCATGTGATAAAAACTACCATTTAAAGCTGAAGACACAAAAATTACTGGTAGTCATATTAACAACTGCCATTTGTTAAAGAACAAGATTAGGATTCAAATGCAGAATGATCTTTGAGAAAGTAAGAATATGATAAGTTAAACAAATTGCACCAATTAGCAATACTTTAACAATGATTTAATTATATTCATTCTCATTTGTTACAAAAGATCTAAATGTAAAAGCACTTTATCTTTAAATGTTGTTACGCTCTTATACACAATACTTTTTTTATGATTTGATTGAAAATCTTAACAAGATTGTGTAACTACTAACAGTATAACTACAAATCAAAAGTAAGCTAAATAACTAGATGAGAAACAAAACCTAACTTAATAATTAACAATGAAATTTTTTTGTAACGAGCTGGTCAGAAATACTTAATGTCTGAAACTAATAGACAAGAAATCAAAACCTAAAATGATTATAATGTACTGAATAATCATTTGGAAGCCTCACTATTAACAATATTCTCAGCCAGAATCCTAATAATATCTCACGATATTTGGCTTGTTTAAAAAAAAGTGTTCACAAAGAAGTAAAAATACTTGTTTTGTTTTTTAAAACAGCAATATATAAACCTCACATTGCTTTTTGTTTTAAATAGTAATAATTGTTTTTCTACTATATCCTATCTGTTTGTTTTTGTTAGCAATTATTGTCTGTTTAGTTTCATTACATAACACAAAATACTTGGATTTGAGAGCAACAAGTAAAATGAAATTGTTTCTTACCCGACTTCGAAGTTCATTTTCTTTAGAGAAATGGACAAACCTGATGCACGCTTTGTCTAACTGTTCAATAAGTTGCACAAAATCCTGAAAAGAGATAGTGATTTACACTACTTACTATACTTTTTATAAAGTAATATTCTATTAATCAACAGATCTCAATAAGACTCATACTGTGCTTTGAAGGTATCAGTTCCTTTAATTCATTAAACTTTAAGAAAAATGTGTATCATTTACGAAAAATGAAATAAATCCTAAATTAACTGAATTGTTTTTTCTAGTGCAAACTTGCATAACAGGCTGTTGATGTATGTGTGCTGCAGGAATAGCCTTGAATTATAGCTTAATGAACACTAAAGCTTAATTCTAAACCAGCAGGGGACAAATTCTAACTTAAAAAATTATAAACATGTTGAATAAAGAAATAATTACCAAAATTTTGAAGCATTACTGATAATAACAGTAACACCTGTCTGATTAAAGTGATATTAATTTTATTTTTAATCAAAACTTGGATTTTAATTGGAAGTAAGTTATACTTTTCTTATACTGGAAATGTATTTCTGATAGAGATTTACCTCTACCCACAAGATTAGCTATGCATGCTACAGGCCTTCTGCCCCCCCCCCCATTACACGACTCTCATGTAAGTCATTATGCATCACTTCTCCACCAATAGGAGTGTGACATACGTGACTCCCTCTATAAGCCTCTACCGGACTATCACTATTCTAGTCCAGAGCTGCCCTCTATATGCAAATTCTTTCTTTATGCATGTTACAGGCCTTCTGCCCCCCCCCTTTATTGGAATTGAATGATTCCAACATGTTTCTCATTTAAGTCATCATGCATCACTTCTCCACCAATAGGAGCATGACATATTCTCATGATGCATGTGACTCCCTCTATGTGTCTCTACCGAACTATCACTTCAAGGTTTGGCAGAAGACGTAAGCACCGGAGGAAAGTGGGGAGGAAGGGTGGGAAGTGTGAGAGGAGGGAAGTACCTATCGGAAATGCATTTTCAGTATAAGAAAATTACAACTTCCGATACAGTACTTCCCTCCACTCACAAGATTAGCTAGATTCCAACATTAATTAGGAGGCAAGACCAGTGTGAGTGAATGATAGAAGTACCACCAGAAAGCATCCAAAGGATAGCCCTGGAAATGAGAGAGTCAGATCCAAAAATCTGATGAGGGGAACCGCACCACTTCTGAACCAGGTGTACTCTTCGCCCATCCGTGAAATGTGTAGTAGATAAGGACAGAAAAAGAGAGGAGCACATCCAAGTTCGAGAGAACTGTGGCAGAATAGTGATCCTAACCATGTATATATGTAACTCAATCCCACCAAGTATAAAAGTGGGTAAAACAATGGATATGCCCTTAGGTGTAGAGTGGCCAAGGTGTAACAGACCATACTCAGTAAGTCAACTACATCCAAAACCTAAGCCATTAAGATACAATAAGGGATAGCAAAAAGGACAGAACTGGAACAACCCCTCCCCCCCTTATCTCCACTGTGACCCACAAAATAGAAGGAGTATGATCGATGGAGGAAGATAGACACCTTAAACATGTGTGGAGACTTATGTTGATTGGTTCTATTCTAAATCCAAAGCCCAGTCACAGGATTCCGATATCTGTGTGGGGGGTAGGAGCAGGGCTCCCAATCGAATGGGTGAACTGCACTTTGATGTCTCATTATTTTGTGAATGTATATTGCATATTGGAGGATATCATGTCATCTACACCCACAGAACAGCACTGAATGGTTATAGCCATCTTTATGTGGAACCCATTCAGGAGGGTGCCTCCACAGTCGAACACCCTAATGGCTTGGAACTGGAAAGTGGTAGGAACTCCTATACTCCACTAGAAGAGGGAGTGAGAATGAGTGGAAAGCCTGGAGGAACATCATTACCTGAGAGAGTGCAATAGGTGACTAAAAAACCCTATTTTGAAAAGCAAACCATACCGATTTATTCAATACAAGGCATGGCAGGGATAGGTAGCTATCCCCTTCTGCTTTACCCAATTAGTCCATGGGTGGTACAGTCCAGAACGGACAAGTTTATGAAGCAATTACATTGTGAAGTTATCCACCTACAAGCAGTCTTATGGAACACCCCATCTCAACAGTGAGCACTGCAAAGCCATGGAAGATAAAGCATGAGTCAGCATGGCTGTACACTGCAAATTTCAAGTTAAAGAATACCTGGTCAGGCACCACTCACCACAGAGCGAGATCCCTATAATGAGGAAATGAAGCAAAGGCTCCTGAAAGGAAAAGCATAAATATAAACTTACCCAGTCAAAGTTGCACTGAAATCTAAAGAACAGCCACAGGTGGAAGACAAAAACCCGACAAAGAAGAAACCATGATATGGTGTAAATAATGGGAGACAAACGTATTAGGTGTACTCCACATGCTCAACTGTAGGATTTCCTCCAATGACTAATGTAGACTAAATGTGAGAGAAAATATTAGGTGTTGAATCTGATGAGAAGACACCTGGAACAAATTCTGGCAGGAAGAAGCCAAATGAATCCAAAGGTGATTCCAACTGGTGAGGGTAGAAGGGGAAATATCCTGAACAGAAGAATACTGCAAACAAATAAGAGCTGGGAATGGGTACCATGAAAGGAAGCCATGCGGGCAATATAAAAAAGAAGAGTACAGACCGGACATAGAAGTATATCCGTATCAGGACGAGGGTAGAAATGAGAAATAGAAGGAAGGGAATAGGTAAAAAGGAAGAGTTACCCTCCCTAGCTGCCATGATCTTTGAGACAAAGGAGAAATACGTAAGGTGGTAAAGCATACATGAAACATTCATGGCAAATGAATCAGACTTTTGACATCCACAGGTTAAGAGGAGAAGAAAATAAATTGTAAGGGAAAGGTGAAATACGGAACATGAGGAAAGTGGTTCAAATGGAGGTAAAGAGAGGGAATGGAGGACCACCTTAATATCCCAGCCCAGAAGAGTAGACCATCTGGGGGGGGGGGATGACAAATCCAGAAGGAACACAGGAACGTGGTTAGTACAGGTGAAGCAAAAAACACAACAATAGCAAGAAAACGAAAGGTATGGGATAAGGCAGCTTGAGAATTTCAGAGCAAGGAGACTGAAAACCCCTGGTCAAAAAGCCATGTGAGAAACTCTGCCAATTGAGCCACAGTAGGTCAGTCCACGGGGAATCCTCAAGATGCAGTCCAATTGCGGAACACTTTCCATAGATACTGATACACCTCCACTGAAGAAGGACATATGGAATGAGCTAACAAGAAAGCTACTCAATGGGAGAAACTTGATCTCTCCAAAGACTGGATAAAACCAGGCTTGACGATAAAGGACAGGGAAGGCTGGATATAAAACTGAGGTTGACAAAGAAGGGAGGGAGACAAAGGAAAAGGTACTGGAGGGAAAAGTTGCAATTGTTGGAATCGTGGAACCATGGTGGAGCTAGCCAATAAGGAGCAAACAGAAGGATTGGATAGGGAGTGGTATGAAGGAGAGATCATGAGGAAATTGAAAGACCACTCCATCAGATGTATGCAATGTTGAGGCAGGAAAGACTATCCACTATGAGATGGAAAGCATCCAGAATGTGATGCGTAAAGAGATGAATGTGGTGTGTGTGTGGGCCCAATACAATAGATCAAAAAATGGGTGCCACCTTGGGGATTGATATGTGCATTGTCAGAAAAAATCATCACCAGACAATGTCTGGCAAGAGGAAGGAAGTGATTCAAAGCCTGATGGACCGTGAGAAGCTCAAGGATGTTGATGTGCATGGACCTTTCATCTACATACCAACGACCCAAAGCCTCTTGGTGATTGACTCATGTACACCAGCACTGAAGGGATGCATCCATGAAAAGATGTAAATCTGAACAAGGAGAAGGAGGAAGCAGTATGCCCAGCAACATATGGGCCTTGTACAACCAATACAGATCATCCAACAGGTTGGAGGAAGGGTAACGGGAGCACACAGGGGATCCCGAGCAAGATTCCGTTGATTGTGAAGAGCCCACTGAAGGGATTGCATATGCGCATGACCAAAAGGGATCAGTGACATCATTGATGACCACATCCCCCAAAACGATAGAACCTTGTGAGCAGACGTAAGGGAGCTAAAAGAATGTGGCAAACTAACAGTTCCTTGGAACAAAGTCAGAGAGGAGAAAGGTTGGCCCCGGCTGAGATGAGCATAGAAAGGGACACCCCAGTAAACAAGATATTGGGGAGATTGGAGTAAGGAGTTCTCCAAATTAATGAACCAGTCTACTCAAGCAGCCACTAGAAAGAGCTGACGAGTATGGTAGCTGACTCTTGTTTGGAAGGAGCCAGAAGATTCCAGTTGTCCATACAATGGTGGAATCGTGACCTCAGAGCTTGAAGATAGCAAGCAAAGCTCTGACCGCCCAACAGAAAACATAAGGGTTGGAATCCTGCTTGAAGGGTAGGGAGCAAAAGTGATAACCACCCCATGATGGACAAACAGAAGATATGAACGAGACCATGGTGATAGAGGGATGTGGAGATAAACATTGGCAATGTCCATCTGGTCATACATAATCCTGGAGAAATGCCCACCACAGGATGAGGAATGGTAAAATAGTTGAACAAAGTGATTGAGGTGGGAGAATTCAATGACAAGCCACCAGTCCCTGGTGTATTTGGGAACAACAGAGAGGCTGGAGTAAAAACATGGCAAAGTATGTAGAACAGGTACAATGGCCTGTGAAAATAGTAGTTCCAGAACCACCTTCGACAGACACTGGCAGGTCATGGGATCCCAAGGTGGAGGGAGGGAATGGGTAAAGGAGACACAGGAGGTGGGAAAATGATGGGATCAGGAATCCTTCCGAGAAAACTTACTGGACCAGAATTCACCAGGCAATCACCAATACAGTTGGTGGAATGATGTGCACTGATGCAGAAATGATGAGACGAGGCACCCTGAGAAGAAGGGACACGTAAAAGTTAGGATGGGGAGGAATGGAAAATGGTAACATGTGCCGTATTGGGTTCTGACATAGACAAATGGGCAACAAGGTTGGAAATGGTAGACTGTTGTTGTACTGATGCAACCTGTGATTCCAAAGATTCGGGGATTATGTTAAAGATGTATCGCCACAAAAATGGTGCCATACATAAATCCTTAAAATAAGATTATGGTAAATGGACGAGAGTTAAGGTTGCAGCACAACCTAGAAGATCCCCACAACAGAAAAACCATGTATGTAAAGCCAGAGCCAAAGACAACAAATAAGCAAACATGGAAAAAGAAGGAAGAGGAAGTCCCCATAAAACCCCTCAGGATCTTGGTGGAGAGCCTCAGAGAGGAAATGGTATGTAGAGAGATATCATAAAGAGGTGTGAGGAAATTGGGCATGGGTAAGACAGACAGAGATTTGGGGGCCACACTCCAAAGATGCAAAATGGACTTAACAATTGCTTGTCCAGAAAAAGGATAGTCTCCATGATGATATGGAAGAACAAACTGATCTGAAACCAATTAGTCAGCATTAACCTGAATATCCAGGGAAGACAGAAACCCAATAGGGATGGAAAGATTGGTCAGGTAGTAATGATGGATGTGGGTCATAGGAAGTAGGGGAAAGGGATAAAACGTCGCATACCTGAGACACTAAATCCAAAAAAGACTGTATTAGACCTAACTGACTTCTCAGGTGGGGCATAGGTAGACAAAGCAAAATCAGGAGGTGTAAATGGGGATCCAAGTCCTCGTCCACTTGAACAGGCTCAGCTTGTTCTGGAGGAACTGGAGTGAGGTCTGACAGAGGTTGACCCATATAACGTTCGATCTCCTGGCAAATAAACATGGATAAATCCCCCATCAGATCACCCAAACATGAGGCCTGAGACATAGCACTAGTTGCAGGTGTAACCCCTGAAGTGGTTTCATGACCTTGGAATTCATAATGAAGAAAAGTGGACCAATAATCGAAAGAATAAATAACAATGTGACAGTTGTAAACTGGGAGTAAAAGTTGAATTTAAGAAAAACTAGAAGTGAGTATACTAAAAATGAATGTGAAACATTAAACAAACAAAAAGGAACACATCCAAGCACAAGCACTGCCAAACAAGAAGTGATAGTTCAGTAGAGGCATATAGAGGGAGTCACTTTTGTCATGCTCCTATTGGTGGAGAAGTGATGCATGATGATTTACATGAGAGACATGTTGGACATAGGGGGGGGGGGGGAGGAGAGCAGAAGGCTTGTGGCATGCACTGGACAAGAATAACTAATCTTGTGAGCGAAGGGAAGTACCATAACAGAAATTATAGCTAATCTGTTAATATAAATAATGCCTATATTATAAAATCATTGCCTGAACACACCTCTACACAACCAAAAGCAAGCTAATTGTAGTTTCAGCTTCTATTTGATGGAGTTCTTACTGTAGCTCATACCCCTTAGCAGAATAACATGTTTCATACTTTTTGCAATGTTAGACCAAATTTAAAAACTAGCTTTAACAACCTTTCCTTGAAAAAACATACAAAGTTTTTTAAACATATTTTTCACTGGTATTTAAGTTGATACATTCTCCTTTTGATATTTCTAGCTCAATCATAATATGATTCATAAGCAAAATAACTTTTTACTAGTAATCAAGAATTCCTAACCCCTAGTAGTTTTTTTTTTAGAGTGCCCAATCATATCACTTTTTTCTTACCTCATAATATAGGTTGACTAATAATATTGTTGCTTTGCTCATATCTCACATAGAGGCTGACCAATCACATTACCATGTCAATACTTACAGGACAAGCTTCATACTATATGGTTACCATGACAATACTTACAAGACAAGCTTGGTACAGAAATGGTTACCATGACAATACTTACAGGACAAGTTTCGTACTGTATGGTTACCATGACAATACTTACAGAACAAGCTTGGTACAGCATGGTTACCATGACAATACTTACAGGACAAGCTTCGTACTATATGGTTACCATGACAATACCTACAGGACAAGCTTCGTACTGTATGGTTACCATGACAATACTTACAGAACAAGCTTGGTACAGCATGGTTACCATGACAATACTTACAGGACAAGCTTCGTACTATATGGTTACCATGACAATATTACAGAACAAGCTTGGTACAGCATGGCTACCATGACAATACTTACAGGACAAGCTTTGTACTATATGGTTACCATGACAATACTTACAGGACAAGCTTGGTACAGCATGGTTACCATGACAATACTTACAGGACAAGCTTGGTACTGTATGGTTACCATGTCAATACTTACAGACAAGTTTGGTGTTGCATGGTTACCATACCAATACTTACAGGACAAGTTTGGTACAGCATGGTTTTGATAAAGAGGCTGACCAATCACATCATTGTTAACTTACCTCATAATATAGATTGACTAATAATATTGTTGCTTTGTTTGTATCTCATATAGAGGCTGACCAATCATGTAATTGATCTGTGAATTAACTTTGAAGATGTTTAGCAACTCTTTTAGTTGAAGCTATTACAATTGAAACTGTATGAAGTACCTGCTGTCCACTGAAATAATGCACATTTGTATCTACAAATACAACTTGAAAATAGCATTGATTTAATAAGAAAAATTAATCTCACAAATAATATGGCCAATAAGTTAATAAACAAAGTCAAAACATAATTAACTGTTAGCAGTATGAAGTGTAGTTTGGTTATATTATCAAAGAATACATCACGAAGTTGATATTAATAAACTCTCATTTCTCTGTACGACATTGAGTTACTGAAACCGTATGCATAGCATGCATATACAGAACAGCACCAATAATTTAGTTAAGACTAATGACTAGTGTGTGACAAGTTTGTGTAGGTATAGCAATGTTAAGGTTAATGGGTTAGCTCTGTATAGAAATAATCAGTTTAACAGAAATAAACTTCAGTAACTTTAATCACAGATATTCTTCAATTTGAAACATTTTAAACTTTCATGAAACTATTCTATACTAGCTGAAGTACCCATCCCCTGAACGGAAGTTATGTAAATTCATGATTAATGAAAGTTGCTTCCCTTATATGTAATTGTAAAAACTGCAAAAATGTCCATAAAAACTGCAAAAAATAAAAATGTGAGACTGCAATTTTGCATATATCTTTGCATGAACCCAAAAAACCTTCATGCCAAATTTGGTAAATATCCATCAACAGGGGGCAAAGTAGTGGTAAAAAAATGCAAAAATGCCCATAAAAACTGCAAAATTTAATAAAATTTTTATGTACCCCTGCATGGACCAAATCAACCTCCATACCAATTTTGGTGAAGATCCATTCACACCCTTCAAAATAGTTAAAAGGACATACGACAGACAGTACTATTATATTTTTTAGATTAAAGAAACTTGGTAAATACCTAAAGAGTGAAATTAGCATTCTTCTTCCCATTTACATCTAATAGCCACAGTGTTAAGTGATAAGCCTTTTTCTCTACATTAAAGAAAAAATTTATCAGATATAAAATTTCCAAGAAATCTGCATAGTTACCATGGCAATAAAGATTTACACTAATACTACGGATCTATATGGTTACTGTGACAACAGAGTCACACGAATAACAAAAATCATGATGGTTTTCATGCCAATACTTACAGGACAAACTTGGTACTGTATGGTTACCGTGCTAATACTTACAGACAAGCTTGTTACAGCATGACTATCATGCCAATACTTACAGGAGAAGCTTGTTACAGCATGGCTATCATGCCAATACTTACAGGAGAAGCTTGGTACAGCATGGCTATCATGCCAATACTTATGGGAGAAGCTTGGTACTGTATAGTTACCATGCCAATACTTACGGGAGAAGCTTGTTACTGTATAGTTACCATGCCAATACTTACGGGAGAAGCTTGGTACTGTATAGTTACCATGCCAATACTTACAGGAGAAGCTTTTTACAGCATGACTATCATACCAATACGTACAGGACAAGTTTGGTACTGTATGGTTACCATGCCAATGCTTACGAGACAAGCTTGGTACAGCATGGTTTTCATATCAATAAGTGGTGGATTTAGACTTGGTGAGGCCCTTAGCCATATAAAGCTTGGAGGCCCCATGTTAAAAAGTTACACCAGAAGGTCTCACAAAGGTGCGTATCAAAACAAGACCTTGGGTCGCCACAAAAAAATTAAAAACATATATATGCCTTTTATTTATTTAATAGCAAGTTATTTTAAGTGAAAAATTACATATTTATCAATTTGCTGGCTTAATCTCTCTCATAGATAAAATTTTAAAAGCAAAAAAAAAAAAAATTGAAATTTTGTGAGGCCCTAAGCTGTAGCTTGTTTAGCTTATGCCTGAATCCAGCACTGATATCAATACTTACAGGACAATCTTGGTACTGTATGGTTACCATGATAATACTTACAAACAAGCTTGTTACAGCATGGTTTTCATGCCAATACTTACAGGATAAGCTTGGTACTGCATGGTTACCATGCCAATAGTTACAGGACAAGCTTGGTACTGTATGGTTACTATGATAATACTTACAAATAAGCTTGTTACAGCATGGTTTTCATGCCAATACTTACAGGACAAGCTTGATACTGCATGGTTACCATGCCAATAAAAACTTCATTGCTCAGCTGCTGGAGACAAGTTGCTGCATCACTTGAGGAGTGTTCTTCCTGATGACTCTTGAGGAATAAAGAATCAGTGCTCAGGAAGTGATTGACTAGTGGTTTACCAACTCCCTCCACAGACTGTATGTCCCAGATCCTGATCAAAGATAGAAACGATTAAATGCATTAAAACTTGAAAATGAAATGAATATTTTTGGCATTACATTACTAAGCATAGACATTCAAACACATCTGCTATATATCTTCAATGAACACTTATTCCAATCTTTGTGACTGGGTCTGATGGCAGTGTAATTCATGACATCACGACTCACTAATATTAAAACCTAAAATACAGAAAGCATTCAGTAATAAACAGCACTTCTATAGTTTCAATGACATTTTAATATTATAATAATACAAAACAATTTGATGTGTAACTTATACTTTATGTAAAGTTACACAATTTACTGTCTATAATAAGACCTGGTAACAGAAGTATCTATGAAAGTAGGACCTACACAAATCATCTGTCATATTTAGACAGAAAGAAATATAATGTGAAAAAAAGTTCATTTTCAATAATTTATTTCTATTTTTCTTCCTTTTATACTAGGAAGATAATTTCCTATAATTGGATGTAGTCATTGAGTGCTGGATTTTGGTGTGGAACACTTTGGTTGTGGTTTTGAACATAAGGATCTTCTCCTAGTTGTAATTTACCTAAAGATAAATATGAATTTACACCATACGCTGTGTAAGTGTGGCTTACATAATATATATATATATTTATGCATTCTATTACCAAATAATATAATCTCTTTGACAAACTTTATATCTGATTTCACTAGAATTAAGCACAACTCTTAAACATATTACATTTTGATACAATACTGTAATTTACACGGACATGCCAAGCAAAGGATTTAATCCTCTCTCCAAGCGTAGTAGTCCAAGTTGTTAAAAATGACTTACTACCAATTACACAAGCCTGCAAATTTAAACTTCATAAAAGTTGTTTTGGTTTAAATAATGGATTTTCCATAATTCAACTACGCAGATTTTGAAAATAATATTATATGTTTTCCACCACGTAAGGATCTTTTTACAAATTGGGAAGAATAAAAAACTTGTACTTAGATCAAATTATTATTTCATTTACCACAATGAACATTTTTTATTATTATGTTTGTTAAACAAAAATACTAACCAACTGAAGAAATGGGAAGAACACTGATGTCAAATGAATATGCATCCTCATTTATCCTGAATTTTTGTGTGAAATCTACATCTTTTACTCTCAAACTACGTGTTGTGCTCTTTTCTTTTATGTATTGCATTATGTCGTTTTGCGAAAAATCTGTATGTGATGGAGAAAAATGGATATCATTTTCAGATTCAGCATACAGGAATTACTGTAAAACATATAAAAATTTCAGGACAATAAAACCATCGCAAGCTTGTTTTATCAGTATTTTCATATGACAGATTCTGCCACAAAAAATATCAACCTAATCACCTTATTTCTCAGGTAAGAATAGTTGAAATTTTGGTTTCATGACCAGGGCCAAACCCAAAACCTCTTATATATCGAGTTAATGCTCTACTAACTGTGCTAAGTGTTAACAGAATAGTAATTGCTAGTAAGGCACTTTTAACAACTCAAACTATACAAATGCAAACAAAAGTTGATGTAAAATTGAACAAAAGATAAATGACAAAAATGGTTGTTACTGTCAGCAAAAGAAGGATGTTAAAAATCTGAATATTCAACTACAAAAAAAAGATCTATGTTTCATGTTAAACTACGTATAAAAGAAGCAAAATCAGAATGAAACATATAACCTTAGATAAACAATTTTATGATACATGCATAAATTAATTTTAGTTTTAATTTGAAACATTTTTTTTATTGTTTACTTTTATACTTTAAGGCAATTAAGTCTGAAAAAATCTTCCAATGAAAATAAAGCTAAATGCATAAAAATATTTTGAGATTTTTCAGAGCATTATTTATGGAAAATGAGAGTGGACATGGGTGACGAAAAACCATACTAATTTTCAGTCTGACCTGATTGTATTACGATTTTTCACAGATGGAAAAAGATGACTACTGTCTGGTGGAAGTTCAACATATACTTCATCAAATTTGCTGCTTGTTAATTGACTGAGTGGGCTGTAAGCAAAGGCCATACAGTATGCAGTCAGGCTTGACCGCTGGTAAAAATCTAGAATACGTTTCCTAAAAGAGAGAGGAAAATCATAAGAACATTGAAGTTTACACATTTGATATTTTATGTCCAATTTTAACTTCCAGGTTAACATCATTAACCCATTCACTGCAGCTGAGACATATATTTCCCAGCTGCAAAGATAGGGTTAACCCTGCGTTAGTCTTCCGTGGTCTTCACGAACCCCAAATATTTTGTAAACATTTGCAATAACAGATGGAAGCATGTACATGTTTGTTGTTCTCAGTAGCTTCAGTATTCGGCTAGTTTGTGTAAATTGTTACACTTAGTTTAGGTGGTAATAAAGGAAAAGTCTTTGAGTGTTAGTGTTTTTTGTTGCCAAAATAATAGTTTATTATTATTTAAATACAGTAGTACCTCGTTTAGCACTCAGGATAGGTTCCTTAAAACAGAGTTCTACACGAATCAGCTGTAAACATGGTCATTTTACATGACAGAGCCTGGGGATGAGATACAGGTGACCAAAAGACAGGTAATTTGTTGTTGAGGCTCATAGCAAAGGCAGGCATCCATGTGGGGAGACCCCCCCCCCCCCGATGGCAAAGACCCCTGAATATGAGGGGATCTAATGACCATTCTGTGGGATATATCCAGTCAGGGTGCGAAAGATGATCCACAACCAGATTCAAAGCACCCAGCACATGACATGCAATAAGATGAATGTGATGTGCATTGGCCCTAGATAAGAGATCCAACATCCGAAAATAGAGATCTTTGAACCAGTTGCCCTCTTGGTAGTTGATATGTGCCACCACCATAGAATTGTCTGAATTAACCATCACCAGACAATGTCGGGCGAGAAAAAGGAAGTGATGCAATGCCCGATGTATGGCTAGAAGTTTGAGAACATTGATGTGCAAAGCACAGACTAATGGCCCAAAGCCTTCTGGTGATTGACCCATGGCCCCATCCCTGATGAGATGCATCCACGATAAGAATTAGATCTGGATGCGGGGGGAGGAAGCAGCACGCCCACCAATGTATGGGCTTTGTCCAACCACCAAAGCAGATCGTCTTGCAGGGAAAAAGGAAGGTAAATGAGAGTGGAAAGAGGATCCCAAGTAAGGGTCCATTGAAGTGTCCACTGAAAGGATCTCATATAGGCTCAGCCTGAGGGAGGACCAGTGATGTCATTGATGATCTAATCCCCAAAAGCAATAGAATCTCACGAGAAGTAAGTGATGAAACTGAGATAGCATGGCGAAATACAAGTCCATAGAACAAAATTGGACAGGAGAAGGCTGGGCCTGACTGATATGAGTGTCGAAAAAGACACCCAAAAGTATGAGATAGTGATGAGGTCTGAGAAAGAACTTCTTCAGTTTGATTAACTACCCCTGTCGAGCAGCCACTAAAGGAAGGTGCCGAGTATGCCTGGCCAACTCTGGTGCAGAATGAACCAGTCATCAATGTAAGAGAGAAACTCAACCCCAGAGCAAGAAGATGTCGAGCAAATGCTCAGACTACCTGACAGAAAATGTAATGGCCTGAAGCAAACCCAAACGTTACTGCACGAGATTGAGAAACCATCATGAGATGGACAAACCAAAGATAATAATGGGACTGAGGTGATATATGTATATGGAAATAAACAATGGCAAGATTCATTGTGGTCGTCCATAAACCTGGAGAAAATGCCTATTTCCAGGTAAGAAAAGACTCCATGGTAAACCAAGACAGATGAACGAAGCTGTTAAAGTGAGATAAATCTATGACCGGCCTCCAGTCCCCGTTTTTTGTAAAACAACAAAAGTTGGAAATAAAATCTTGTTGAAGAATGTAGAACAGATTCGATGACTGCTGAAATATCAATTCCTGAACCGCTTCCAACTGACGCTGACTGGTCACAGAATTCTGAGAAGGAAGGAAGGAAATGAGGAAGGAAACATTGAAAGTGGGAAAAGAAATGGGATCATGAATCCTTCTGACAAAACCTGAAGAATTCATTGATCCTCAACAAGGGAACCCCAGCAATAATAAATAGGCAAGCAGAGCTCCCATCAGACCAGAACCTACTGGTTAGTCACCAGTACTGGTGGTGATTTGAGGTGTATCATTGAAAAACAAAAACAATGAGAAAAGTCACCCCGAGGAGAAGGGTTGGGAAGGGGAAGGATGGGAAACAGTAATAGGAGGCATATGGGGCACCGACTGAGATAAACATGCAACAATATTAGTAAGGGTAGATTGTTGTTGAACTAATGCCGCCCATGATGCTATTGTTTCTGGGATCGTGTCAAAAATATATTGCCGCAGAAATAGGGCCATACGTAAATCTTGAAGCAAAGTCAACGGTAAACAGACCCGAGCCAAATACGCATCATGACCTAAAAGGTCTCAACAACAGAGAAACCACGTATGCTAAACCAGAGCTGAAGATGACAAACAAGCTAATGTGGAAGAAAGAATGGAAAGGATATCCCCAGAAAACCCCTCAGAATTTCTGGAGTACCTCAGAGAGGAAGTGTAGAGAAAAAGGATACCGTAAAATTGTAAGGGTAGGGCACAGGCGAAAATTCTTGGCATGGTCAGACTGACAGGTGATTTGGAAAACAGGACAAATGGAACCTAACAATTGTTGGTCCAAAAAGGGACAGTCAGCACAATGGTTGGAAAGCACAAACTGATCTGAAGCCTGTAAGGGGCAAGGCATGTTAAACCCATTGTTTAATAGCGAGGTAAGTTAATCAGCATGAACCCAAATATCAGAGGAGGGAGGAAAACAAAAAGGGTAGGAAGATTGGTCATGTAGTAAGGAATGACTTGGCTCATAAGTAATAGGAGAAAGGGATAAAATGTCATATACCTCAGAAACAAATACAAAAAAGACCAAGTTAGGCCTAACTGATCATTCAGGTGGGAAGGGGAAAGTATGGTTAAATCAGGAGGCAGAAATATCCCTGTCAATCTGAACAGGTTCTGCTTGTTGGGGAGGAACGGGGGCGAGGTCTGAGGACGAAGATTGGCTCATGTAACGTTCAATCTCCCAGTGGATAAACGTGGAAAATCCACTGTTGGGTCACCTGCACCTGAAACCTGAGAAATAATGCAAGCCACTTGTGTGACTTCCAAAGTGGGAATAAGAACTTTGGAATTCATTATTTGAATAAGAGTTCACCAAATTCAAGCACTGAAAAAGAATAATGCGATGGGAACTAACTGATAAAAATTTTTAAACTGCAGAAACAATCATAATGAAAACTAAATAAATTAAAGAAAACCACTTTGTGAGGAAACTTAAGCAGAATGTGTATTTTTAAACAAACATAAAGCACATCTGAACACAAGCACTGTCAAATGAGAAGTGATAGTTCAGTAGAGGAGTGTAGAGGGAGTCACGTGAGCATATCATGCTCCTATTGGTTAGGAGGTGATGCATGATGATTTGCATGAGAGACATGTTAGAATATAGCAATTCCAACAGTGGAGCAGAAGGCTTGTGGTAAGTACCATATAGGAAAGCATTGTTTCTTACCTGTTAATGATGTATAAATACTTTATGTGGGTACTAGTAAATTTAACATAAATTACTCACTATAATATCGTCATTGCTGGAAAAAAGCAAATTTTTATTAGCCTTCAATCTTGTTTGGGTAAAAAGCCATCAAATAGAAAATCAGACCCCTCCTGCCACACCCACCTATCACATCCTCTCTTTCAGGATTTGTCAATACATGTAGTTCTCTCATACATTTAGGACTATATTAGTTATAACCAATAGACAGGCAAGGTTTTCATCTATCAAATGAAGTATTATATTACGTTAATTTCTGTACAGAGATTTGTAGATCTCTTTCTAAGAAAATGTTTTTTTGCCATGGGAAAGATATTGTATAGGTGGATGATGTTTTAATGGTTCATATTGCATTGCTAGAAATACCAGAAAAATTGTGATAGTTACAAAACATTGTAAGCTTTCTGAATGTTGTTATTCTATATTCTTTGTTGCATTATTTTATTAAATAAAAATTATTTAGTGCACTACTACCATTAGTATGAAAAAGCAGTGTTAAGAGAGTTATGGATTTTCATAATTTTTTTCTCTCTTGTGACAAAATAAAATAAAAATCTCTCAAGGAGCTCTATAACGAACTAGTTTAAAGTGGGGTGATGCTAAGCAAGTTCTTACTGTATTTTTTAATTAATTTTTATGATGGGGGTCCACTCGAACCCTGGAAAAGTGACTATGAAAACTTTTTTACAGAAGATTAAAGCAGGGTTAAAGGTAAAACCTGCATTTACTCAAGATTACTTTTAAAGTTCTATTTTTTTTTTTTTAATTTCAGTACAAAGTAATCAGTGGCTGGATATCATAAGGCTTACAAAATATATTACCAAACTTGGGTATAAGTTAAATTATCATACAATACTATACAAATTAGCATTCAAAGGTATTATTATACTAACTGATCCACATTTAAAAATGAGTTAATCACTTCAAATATATTCCATTTGCCACATAAAACATTGAAATTTATCACTGCCACAGTTGAAAATCTCTACTTATGGAATATATTTATTCTAGCATTTCACACTTTGAATTACAATGGCTAACAACAAAAAGGGAGAATGCATTCATTACATGGGTGATCAGACCTTATGATTATGCCATATGAAATAAAGAAAGATAATTTGCAACATAAAAATATATTTTCTGAAAATCATAAGAAAACAAGTTAAAAAAAGAAACAAGACACCAAATAGAGTTTCCTTAAAAAAAAGTTTTTAATCAAAAAATTTCCTATAAATCTTGAAGAATAATATGAAATGTACTTCCTTAATGCCTAAATAACCCAGACTGGGAATTAACTTTAATAGTAGCTAGGCAAGTGCTTCAGATGACTTAAACTCTGTACTTGATTTACAACTTTAAAGATTTAAAAATACTGTTTGAAGTAAATGGAATTTAAAAATTTCTTAAAAGTTAAACTAAATGAGACTTAACTTTTATTACTAGCAAAGGTGTAAGAAAATTAGTTGAACTTTTGAGTGAACAGAATTCCCAAAGATATATATTGTATGTTTTACACTTTCTTCAGTATATTTTTTGTGGTTCTGAAATGTTTTTCAAGTTCCCTAAAAATAATTGACAATCTTTAAAATGTAGTAGTAAAGGGAAGAGTGAGAGGACCACCGAACTCATAAAAAATAAGAAAACGAACGAAGGAAGAAGTTTTTTGAATCTATCTCGGTTATGTCAAGAACACCTGAAAGTTTCAAAATGATAAGAGGTAGGGAATTTGGAAAATTTTCATCATGGACAAACATACAGACACAAGTCATATTTCATAGTATAAATAGAAATACCTGTCTGATTCCATAAGGATACAAAGATCTCTACCATCCCAGTATTCAGAACATGCATCCAGCAGCAGATCAGCCGTTCCCTGTGAAAACAGCTGGTAGGAACCTATAAACACACAAAATATTGATTTATTCTTCATAACTTTTCAAGGATTTTACTTGGAATCTCTTAACTTGTATTATAGGCAAGTAGCTTTTCATGACTCAGTGATTTTTTGTCTAGTATTTTGTTTATGCATCAATAGCAACTGTTAAATAGTTCAATATTATAAACTTTAAAAATACATTTATAAAGGTGGCTAACAAAAGAATATATATGTACTTAAATACTGACTTAATGTTACAATAAAACCCAAAAAGGCCTCTTTTTTTTAACAAATTAGACAAAATCTAGCATGGCATTATTAATATTTATTTGAACATTTATTTTTATAGTTTTTCATTCTATGGGGTTTTAACCTGTCTAGTTTTTCATCTAGTTCCAGCACTCATGTTTGACAACTTTCACTCAACTCTAAGACTCCACTGTATGAAAATAATCATCATTAACCTGCCTGAGTTATGAAATATAAGACAGTTTGAAATTACAGTTCTGCACTGGTCATAGAATAGGTTTTGTTATCCAGTGCAAGTTTAATAATGTTTCATATCACACATTCTCATTTGGTGTATTTCTAAAAAGAAGAAAAATAAACTAAGCATTTGTAAGTAATCAAAAATAACTCATGAATTGTACAAAACTTAATAAACTCTCAAAATCAACAAAAAATAAATGGCAACACTATCTTATTTTCAAAAAGAAGAAGCCAAACATATTGTGTGAATTTTGTCTGGACAAACATAACCACTTGTTGTTCAAGTGTTTCTATGTTGTCCCATATTCTTCATGTACAAGATGATTTGGAACTACTTTATTTTACAATGTGAAATGCCACATTATTAAAACCAGGAAATACCTCTACTATTAGAAACTTAACCAACTGTATCGTCTTTCCTCCGGCATTACACACAAAGCTAGGTACCGAAACTCAGAGATACTTTACAGGGAAAAACTTCCTGTATGAAAATGGTTTATTTCTAGAATTATTTGGAATATTGGAAAAAAAGTTTGAGATTATAATACTCTATGCTAAGTAATTTCTAGACCTGTTCTTTGGGATTGGTGGTGCTGTTTAAGATATGTATATTTATAATGACTGCAATTTGAAGGCAGGGTTTAAAGCCATGGGTGTTCAAAATATCCAATGTCAGCTTCTTTCTAGTGCTTTTATGGATTCCACAAAGTAGTAAATAAATTCTATGAGTTATAATTACAAATTTGTTAGCAAGCTGACAAAGTCAATCTGGAAATACACCATTTTTATTTAGTGGAGTTACTTAAGAAACTCTTTGTATATAAACAAGTAAATATCAGGACAGAGACTGAATGTTTCATGCTCTGGAACTACAAGAATAGAGACTGGATGTTTCATGCTCTGGAACTACAAGAATAGAGACTGGATGTTTCATGTTCTGGAACTAGAAAAACAGAGACAGAATGTTTATGTTCTGGAACTACAAGAACAGAGACTGAATGTTTATTGTCTATCTATATCACTGTAAAGAAAGTAGGGTAAATATTAATGTTTCATTTCTCAGAAAACAACTAGTAGAATATCTAATAGTAGAAAACAAAGGATTCTAAAAAGTTTCAAAACTTATGAAGTAAGCCACAAACCTGGAAATTTTTTTATGATTGTTTTGACTATGATTTGTCTATGATAGTCTTTTTGTGTTATATTATGCTGACTTTAAAACTACAGGAATATTCTTATATGAGAAGACACCAGGTAAGTTTAGGGTTAATGAGTCTGGTAAAGGTACGAATTCTATAACAGCAAACATCTCAGATGACGTGAAAGATGTTTTATTTGTGTGTATTAGTAAAGTTATTATTACTCAACACATAGAAGTATAAGAATTGCTAAGTTATTGAAAAGAAATGCTAATTATTAGAAAACAATTAGCTTGACCAAATAGATAGCTTTAAAATATAGTCTATATCAAAGTAGGCCCAGGATATGAATGCAAGTTGTGCTTACTGTTCATTAGTGATCTGTGCTTTTTAAATGGCATATAACTTCTTCAATATATAACAAATATAAATAATTGACGAAAATAAAACAATGTAGAACTTATTTGATACATAAAATTAAACCTTTTAATCAATAATGTTAAAAGAAATCATTCATCAAGAATTATCAAAATTACCCTAAGTCACCAGTTTCAATAATGACATCCATGTTGATCATCCTAGGCTCAGTACTGAAAGGTGCTGAGCTAGCTCATGTGGCTGGTGTTAAAAATAGTGATCATGACAAAATTTCCAAAACTTTATAATTTAAAATACTACACAATTACCAAACCAACTTACATAACTCTTGTCAGGCACAAACTAGATATTATATAGAAAGTATACAGAAAGTACGCATCAAATTTTATACAGAATCTTAAGTGTGAGAAGAAACCAAATAAGGTTAATGATCTGGAAATACCAGGACAAAGACTCTTTATGTTTCTTGCCTGGAAAATTATATTAACTCAAATAAGAGTAGCACGAGTTCTGATGGAGCTGCAGAATTTTGCATTCTTAAAAGCAATTTCACATATTTAATTTTATTACTAATCCCTGTATACCTTTTTTGAAGAACTAGACAATATAGTTAAGAGCAAACAAATATGCCACTTACATCTGCAATTGTTTGTTTTCTTACAAAACCAATGTAATGTACAAAGACAATGTCTCAAATAAAGCCTAAAATCATATATTTACTAATAAAGAAAAAGTTTCTTATACAAAAATATAACAGTGGTACAAACCACTTATTCTCAGTGTTTACAGTAAAATATTATCTACTTAAGTACAGGATGGTTACAAACATTCAAGTAATAACAAAAACAAGAGGTGTTATAAATTGATATCTATTACTATGTTAAAGTTGAACTTTCACCCTATACAATGAAATATCTCCTGCTCATTCACAATGAGTTGAAAATAAATACCTGAATGAAGGTCCCTCACGACAGCACAAGCCATGTTCGGAAATGGCATTTTGAGCCGAGGAAAGTTCAAAGATCTTGCTAATCTTCCTTTCTGTATAACTTCTGGCCTCTGAAAAAAAAAAAAAATGCTATCCAGTGTTTCAGCCATAACTTAAGTTTCCTTTCTGTCTAAACTGTTCATTATACACGAGTAATGTTACGTTTTATTGATTTTTTTTTTATTAATCCATTAAAGAATGTGTTGGAAAAAATCTTGTGTCTTTTCAATAAGTAAAATGAGAGAGAACTTGTACTTTACAGTTATACACAAATAAACACTTCTTTTACTTTGTTCTTCCATCATATGAAAGTATTGTTTTTTGCACTCATATCATTGGCAATGTTTTTTTTTAAATCACAGAATGAGAAGGGTTTCAAAATCTATTCTCTTGAAAATTAAACTTGAATAAAGAAGTATTTCATCTTGTTCTCTGCAGCAAAACAACTTCAGTTCATTATCCTATGTTGTTCTTTCTAACACTAAAACACTACTTGTCCTGTCATCAGATGTAAGGTACCTTTAAATCTGTTTTTATCCCTCATGTTCTCAAACTAAGTTATATGGAATAAGACACTAAAGTGTAACCTTCTGGTGCTGTGAAGCTAAGTTACATGTTTGTCCACATGGAATAAGACATTAGTGTGTAGTCTCCTGGTGTTGTCATGCTAAATTGTATGCTTATCCACAAGGAATAACACATTAGCATGTAGTCTCCTGGTGTTGTCATGCTAAGTTACATGTTTATTTACATGTCATGCTAAGTTGCATGTTTATCCACATGTAGTCTCCTGGTACTGTCAAGTTAAGTTGCATATTTGCCACATGGAATAAGACATTAGTATGTAGTCTCTTGCAACTGTCAAGCTAAGTTACATGTTTGTCCACATGGAATAACACATTAGCAACTAGCCTCCTGGAACTGTCAAGTTAAGTGATATGTTTGTCAACATGCCTCCTGACTTCTTCTGGGTATCTGTGACAGTCCTGTAAGCCTTTTTTTGTGCATTTTTATTTTTTCAAACTAAAATTAAGTGCTATAATTCTGATTCCAAGATTTTTTAATAAAAGATACATGGGACTTTTTGTTTCTGATAATGCTTTTAGGCTTGCTTAGTCCATTCAAAAGTGACCTTCATCACTTTAGGCTGATATAATAAAAATAAATTTATAGGAGTGCAGTGAAATATTTCTTCTGGTAATCTTTTGAAATCAGATTTGAGTGCATCATGAATTGGAAACTTGAAATGAATTTCAATATTGACACAATTTTGAATGAGATCTCCCTTTAGCAAAGCGTTCAGGATTTTGAAATTTATTGTTATTCTTCTAGTGATTAGCAGTACACCAGGTGGCCTTGCAAAATCGAGTATCTGAGGGCCCTGTAAAAATACTTTCATTTGATATAATTTAAGCAAAAATGATGCACCAAAAATTTGTATCTTGCTAACAAATGGTCTTTATTTGTAAGAAGATGGATGGTGAGATAAAGACCATATAAACAATGTAGATATAGTAAAGAGCAGTAGACAGGAATATTATTGATTTTAAAATGAAATTACATTTGATGATGACTGAATAAAGAAGACAACACAACAAAGGATAAACAAAAGTTTTAATTCCCTGCTGAAGAATTAATAAACTGAGACACTGGACTCGGGGGACTCTTAATGATGTGATCCTATTGATAAATTCAATCTCTCATAAGAAAGTAAAACACTCCAGCAGCAGAGATGGCACAAAAAGCATAATCATTCATGCTTAAAGTTTTCTGCTACTTTCTCTATCTTACATATCAGCCCACTTCCAAAATTGCATCCAAAAACACGTGAAACCAAAAAGCCCCTTGTAACTGAGCAGCAAACATTCAAGATAATTAAAAACTGCCCAATGATTATTGTATGTAATACACTAACACTAAAGACTTTTGATTCCTATGCTGCATAAAAACTAAGTTATTATCATATATCATGAACAACCCTTTGTATGAGAAGTAGAAATCTGCAGAACTTATAAACCAGTATGACCTCTTTTCAATAGCTAAACTGAAGTGTACAACATAACTTCACTAGCTAAACAACACATTTTTAATGATCATGAAGTAACTCTTCATACTTTTACTGAAAGCAAAGCTTAACAGTAAGTACACTTTTGTTGTTATTTTCTTCATGGACTACCTGCACCCTGTTCACCACGGGGAATCAAACCCCGGATCTTACCGTTGTAATTGTATAAACTTATCGCTGTCCCTACAGGAGACATACACTTTTCCTATATTGTTTGTGTGAGTGATGCAGAAAAAACTACCTTAATAAATGACAGAATCTGGTGCTGAGAATATATATAAAACACAAATATATATGTGTATATTTTTTACTAAAAATTATAAATAAGCAACAATTATTAAAACATTAGCAGGTTCATTTAATTTTATAACATAACAAAATGTTTCTTTGACCCAGTTAAGAATTTTACACTAATTTTTAGGATTAATTCGGTAACAATGGATGTAAACCATAAAATAACACATTATTGTGTGTAGTAGTTAGAGGACAAAAAAAATAGTAAATGGAACAAACAGTCAGAAATCTTGATATTGGAGAAACTAGTTTTGGCACATTCATGTGTCCTCTTCAGTCTCCCATTATCTTCTGGTAGGAAAGTTGTCCAGTTTTCCTGCTAGTGAAGGGGGAAGCCGGAGTGTGTCAAAGCTAGTTTCTCCAATATCAAGGTTTCTAACTGTTTGTTCCATTTACTGTGTATTTTTATTCTCTAATGGACTACAATTCCTTAACACTAAAAATCCTATAATTATAACCTCCAACCAGTGATAAAACATCTCACTCACCACATGTCTGAAGACTGCAAGTTGCTGCTGCAGTTGATAAACATTAGTAGCTCCTTCAGTGAATCCTATCTGACTGGCTAGTTCACAGAGACACCTACAATAATCACTAAATGGTAGCCTGCTGGTAAGAAGTGTGTCCTACTTCTTTTTACCTTAATTTCTGACGGGTATTATTGGACTAATCCTAATATTCAAAGCCAGGGTCCTTTCTCAGCATGCTCACTCCTGGAGCTTTATGAAGTTTTATAAAAACCTGCCTTAGACTGATAACTTTTACAGCAAAATTACAAGTAAAAATGATAAGTTATTAATCAAATTTATTGTGTTAACTTAATTGTGAATCAGTATTAGGAACCTAGAAGCAGAAAGCATTGGTCAATACATTCTGTTACTTTATTTCCCAACTTACAATACATGAAAATAAGAGCCCAAATAGTATCTGTTAGGAAATTTCATTATTTAAATAGAACTTTAAAAAATACGCAATAAACCGAGCTCCAAGAGTAGCAGCTAAGGAAGAAATCTGCTCCTGAAACTACAAACCTGCTGCTTTAGTTTACTGGTAAAAATGTTAGCTACAGTTACAATCAAAAGTTTTACATTGAGAAGCCACAAAGAAAGCACAAACAAGTATATAAAAAACACTATTAACAAAAAAACTTTGTTTTAAACAGACATTAGCTTTAGCTAAGCAGCAGCTGTCATGAAATAGCAAATAAATATATATAAAAAAAATGCAGCCATTTTCATATACATCAATACAAATACACATACTGCCATAACAATAATCTTGTAGTCCTAGCTTAAGCTGCTAGAATAAACATTATACATGAAGACATGTTATAAACAGACTACACCTCTGGGTATAAAAACAAGATATACACCTGCTCCAACAACAAATTTCAACCCAGTTTGTAGTCTACTTTGCATGTTTCTTTTAAACAAAGAAAAGCACTGAAATTACTATTTTGATTTTTAAAAGCAAAATATTTTCAACTTGTCTGTGTTTAGCTACCTGCCTTGTTCTCACAAAATGTTTTACTTACTTCTACTCAAATGTATGTGATAATCAAGTTAATAATCATGCTTTAAAATGTTGAAGAGTAGAAACACTTTTAAAAGTCATTCAATGTGAGATTCTATTTTAAACACTAATGATTAGAAACCTGTAGAGAATTAATTAAGAGGAACATAGTTTCTTCAGCCTAACTTGATCTTATCAGTTGTTTTAGGTGTAAGAAAAAACTTATATGCTTCACAAGCTTGGACGTGTCACTATACTGGTAATAATAATTACATTTTCATATTCAATGGGTTGGAGAAATTTTCAGACAACCCGACACCTTTACATGTAATTTACCATGAATGACAGGGTGTTACTTTGCATGTAACAATGCACAAAACTGATGACCCTAGGAGATTATCCAATAAATTAAGGTGGCTAGTTATCAAATCTAAAGAAACATATATATTCCCTGTAGTTTATAATATGTTAAGCAATTATTATAAGCCATGCCAAACTTATAACAAAAGTTTTCCTTATTAATAGGCACACACAATCAAATATTTTCACATTAAAAAAAATTATGAACACCACTCAATTCAGGTTTTATCAAGACAGAGATGTGCAAAAATACACAAAAGATTGCAAATTCCCTGTTCCTTTGGTCATTTTTCCCATCATGTATCACAAGCAATTTTGCAAGTCTCGTACCAAATCTTAGACCTAGCAATAAGAAAAAAATTAATCGCCTTAACTATACTTCATTCTGGCTCAAGAACTAAAGAGAATGTTCAGACCATGTACAAACCTCTTTTGTACAAAGTTTTCACACACAAAAATACACAACACAAATATTTGACTAAAACATTTTTTTAAATGAGTATACCCATCACAAACTTCATGCAAGGTTTCTTTAAAAAGAAACAGCCCATAAAGAAAACAATATAGAAAGATTCCAGAAAATTCAGAAGGAAATAAATAAAAAATTTGAATGAAAACTGCAGCAAACAAAACAAAATGCATAGCAGGATAGATATAATGACATAAAACCATTTGAACGTAAGGTATTTACTTTCCTATTAAGTAGCCTGAACCAATGTATTGTATAAATAAAGATATTTCATTTTTTTTTTTACTTAAGTGTCACTTAAGATAAAATGGTATTCAGATGGTTTGACTGTCATTTTATGGACTGTAAATAATGTTTCAGGTAATTTATTAATTTTTCGGAAAGAATGGATTAATAATAAAGTAAAACACAAAAGTAATAACAGGAAGCATTTATTAACTGTTTCAGAATCGTCAAAGTAATCTAGAGGTACAAAACAAACACAATTGTAATTATGATAGAAATATGATATAATTTCTAATACATAAGAAGTAAACAATTTGAGTAACAAGTATAACAAGAGAAAACACAAAGTATTTAGCACAAATAAAATATATACTTTTCATTTTCTCATTATACCTTTTATATTCAATTTTTATGTTATACGTATTACAAATTATATAATATTTCTGTTGTAATTACAATTGTGTTTATTTTATACTTCAAGATTACTGATGATGGATCTTTTAGGATTCTGAAACATTTAATAAATGCTTCATATTACTACATTCGTGTTTCGCTTTATTATTATGTTTCAGGTGGTGGGTAATGGTTTAACTTGGATAGTGCAACATGCTTCATCCCAGTGGAGTAGTTTGCAGATTTGAAGGTGCTAATAGTGTATGAAGATCTGTGCTAGTGGTTCTAATCCTCATTTCAAACTACTGCAGGTGGATGAAACTTGTTAGGATCTCTAAAATTAACTTTACAGACTTGTAATTAAATTTCCTTAAATATATAAACAAGGAAGGTTTTTACAACAAAACTCATAGGAAAACTACCTTTTGTTGACAACTGGCACAGCTGCCGAATTGTTGAGAGATTCACAGGCAATGTGATCACAAAAATGGGAATAATGTTCCTGAGCATCAGGATTACAAGTATTCAACAGGATTCCTAAACCCTGAAAGAAACCCGTAAAGGATTACAAGTATTCAATAGGATTCCTAATCCCTGAATAAAAAAGAAAAAAAAACAACTTCGAAGGTTAGAGGTATTCAACAGGATTCCTAAACCATGAAAAAAAAATCCTAAATGGTTATAGGTGTTCAACAGAATTCCTAAACCCTGAAAGAAAAAAGAACAAACGTTATAATTTACCTATACTGAAAATGTATTTCCAATAGGTACTCACCTCTACTCACAAGATTAGCTATTCTCGTTTATTGCTGCCCTCTATACGTGAATTTTTTATTACACATGCTACAAGTTTTCCACACACTACCATTGCAATCAAATGATTCCAACATGTCTTACATTGCAAGCATCATGCATCACCTATTCACCAATCGGAGCATAGTACACTCACGTGACACATGTGACTCCCACTATGTGCCTCTACCAAACAATCACTTTGAAGTTTGGTAGATGAGGAAGCACTGGAAGTGAGTGGGTATGAAGAGTGGGGAGTTTGAGTGGAGGGAAGTACCTATTGGAAATACCTTTTACAGTATGAGAAAATTATAACTTCCAATATGGTACTTCACTCCACTCACAAGATTAGCTAGAATCCTACATTGATTAGGAGGAGGGACTGTTACCCCCCAAAAGTGTCCGAAGGATACCTCTGCTAGATGAGAGAGTCAGAACCGAAAATCTGGAGAAGGGAACTGCACCACTTCTGATCCAGGTATACTCTTCGTTCATTTGAGGAATGTGTAAAAATCAGGGCAGAAAATGAGAGGAGCACATCACAGTGGGAGAGAAAGCAGTAGGAAAGTGATCCTAACCAAAGAAAGATATAGTAACTCAATAAGAAAGTGGGTAAATAAGGATGTGTCCCTTGGTGTAGTAGTTAGGGTGCAGCAGACCATACTCGACAAGTCAACTACATCCAAAACCTCCTCATGGGGTACCAAAATGCATGTGAGGGTAAGATGAGAATCATACTGTCTTTGCCTCAAACCTAAGAACTAGGGAATTCAGAACTACTCCAATTCCTGGGTATTAGACAGGATTAGCTCTGAGCTATCGATCCGGGGATGTGATATCTGGTATTGAAAGGAAGTTTATTGCATGCATTCAACTCCCACAACCGGGAAACATGTTGGAACTATCAAAAGGGCAATAACATTCACATAAGAAGAGAGAAGGAGGGAGAGCCAAGAATAGAATTGGAACAGTCCTACGTATTTCAACTGTGACTCACAACACAGAAGGAGGAATCAAGGGAGGAAGATAGACAACTTGAAACCTGTGTGAAAACTTATGTTGATTGGTTCACTCGAAATCAAAAACCAGCCCGTGGGATACTGACATCCACACGAGAGTAGAAAGAGGGCTTCAAATTGAAGGGGTGAACTGCATATTTACGTCTCACTCCATTGTATGTTTAATCACAAATCGGAGGATATTACGTCATTTACACCAGCAGAACACCATCACCCTACTCTGAACTGAATGGTTATAGCCATTTTATGTGGAACCCATCCATCAGGGTGCCTCTATGGTCAACCACACTAGTGCCTTGGAACTGGTAAGGACTCCCATACTCCACTAGAAGAAAGGAGGGTGAGAATGTGTTGGAGAACCTGTAGAAATGTCGACACCCGAGACAGTGCAATGGGTGATCACAAAACCCTATTTTGTAAAGCAGACCATACCAATTTATTCAATCAAGGCATGGCAGGAATGGGCAGCTATCTCCATCTGGTTTACCCAGGAGGTCCATGGGTGGTATAGTCCAGGACGATTCAATTTATTAAGCAAATATTGTGAGGTTATTCACCTACAAGTGATCTTATGAAACACCCCATCTCAAAGGTGAGAATGTAGAACCATGGAAAGAAAGTGATATTCAACATGGTGTGCAGTACGGATTTAGAGTTAAAGAATACCTGGTCAGGCACCACTCGACATAGAGCGGTATCAAATTAAAGAAGGAATGAAGATTGGGTCTCTGAAAGAAAATATATGATTAATAAAGATTTACCCAGTTTAAGAGTCGCACCAAAGATTGGAGTATAGCTACAAGTGGAAGGCGAAAACCCGAGAAAGCCAAAACCACGATATGATGTAAATAATGGGAGATGAATGTGTTATGGTACACATGCCCAATTGTAGGATTTTCCTCTAGAGGTTGACAAAGACAAGAAGCGGAAGAAAAGGTGAGGTGTTGGAGTTGATGAGAGGTAACACAGTACAAAGTTCGCTGGAAAGGGGACAAGGAGGAATAAGCCAACTGGATCAAACGATGAACCCAATTGGTGAGTGTAAAAGGGGAGAGATCCCTGGAAGAAAAGGGTTTCCAAGGAATAAAGAGACAGGAATGGGAACCAGGAAAGGAAGCCATGCAGGCAATATAACAACGAAGGGCACGCACAGGACATAGAAGTTTATGCTAATTGGGACAGGGGTAGAGATGAGAAATAAAAAGTAGGGAAATAGGCAAAAAGGAGGAGTTACCCTCACGAGCCGCTGAGGTTTTGGGGAGGAAGAAATGATCTGAATAAAGGAAAAGATAGATATGGTGATAAAGTGTGTGTACAACGTCGATGGGGAACAAGTCAGACCATCAATGCCCACAGGCCAGGAGAAGGAAATACACCTTAAGGAACATGTGAAACAAAGAACATGAGGATATAGGTTCAAACAGAGGTAAAGTAAGGGAATGGAGGACCACATTAATATCCCAATCCAGAAGGGCAGATTGTCAAGGAGGTTGACGAATCCGGAAGGAACGGATTAACATGGTAAGGACAGGTGAGAGAAAAATCCTGCAGCAACAGGAAAGGTGAAAGGTAAGGGATAAAGCTGCCCAATAACCTGAAATCGAGGAGACTGAAGATCCCCTATTGAAAAGCCATGTGAGAAACTCAGACACACCAGCAAAAGTAGGGCAAGCAGCCAGAAAACCTCTGAGCCCATATGAGAAAGACCTTCCACTTTCATTGATACACTTCCATGGTGGAAGGACAGATGGATTGGGTCAAATGAAAAACTACATGATAGAAGAAACCAGTAAGGGAGCAAACAGGGCATGGAGAACTGACAATTCCATAGAACAGAGTCTGAGAGGAGACGGTTGGGCCTGACTGAGGTGAGTTTTGAAAAGAAGACACCCAAATGTACAAGTTATTGGGTAGGACTTCTCCAATTTGATCAACCAGCCTACCCTAGCAGCTTCAAGAAAGAGATGACAAGTATGACAGGCCAACTCCTGTTCAGAATAGGAGAGAAGTAGCCAGTCATCCATGTAAAAATGGAAATGCAGCCCCAGGGCATGAAGAGGAAGAGCAAAAGCTCGTACCACCCAATTGAAAACGTACGAAGCCGAAGCGAACCCGAAGGGTAGGGTTCAAAATTGGTATACCACCCCTCCATAGAAGAACCGAAGATAAGGACAAGACCTTTCCGAGATGGGAATATGCAGATAGGCATTGGAGGCATCCATCTTTAATCATCCATAGACCTTGAGAAAAAACGCCACTGAAGACTGAGGTAGGACTCCATGGTGAAATGTGGGAGGTGAACAAAGTGATTGAGGCAGGACAGGTCGATAACATGCCTCCAGTCCCTGGTGTTTTTGGGAACAACAAACAGACAGGAGTAAAACCCCAGTGAATAATGTGGAACAGGTTCTGTATCCTGGTGAGTAAGAAGGTCCTGTACTGCCGCTGATAGATGCTGGCAAGTTACTGGATACTGAAGAGAAGGGAAGAAAACAGGTATCTGGGACAAGGGAGGTAGGGCAAGAAACAGAATTTGAAATCCCTCTGATAAAACCTGAAGAATCCAAACATCTGAGATAAAAGGGCACCACTGATGAATGAAAGTTGCAAGGCAACCTCCTACGGTGAGCTGTACACCATGGGAAGGAGGGACTAGTAAAGTATGTGAAGGAGAAGGACGGAAAACTGAAATAGGCACCACATTTGGCTCTGACTGAGATAAACAGGAAACTAGATAGGAAATAGTAGAGTGTTGCTGGGTTGATGCCACCTAAGATTCCAAGGATTCCAGGGCTGTATCCAAGACGACCATCTTAAAAATGGAGCCATACACAAGTCCCAGAGATAAGGAGCAGGTAAATTATTTTTGAGATAAAATAGCATCATGACCTAAAAGGTCCAAACAACAAAGATATCACATTTTCAAAGACAGAGCAAAAGACAATAAACGAGCCAATGTGGACGTAAAGAGGTAGAAGGTGTCTCCAGAAACCCCTCAGAATTTCTGTGAAGAGCCTCAGACAGGAGATGGATCATGGAAAGGTATAGCAAAAGGGTAATGAGGGTAAGATGGAGGCACAAAAATTGAGCATATTTGAGACTAATGGGAGATTTGGGGCCTACCCCCAAATGTGAAAACCGTATCCAACAGCCATTGGTCGAGATATGGACAGTCCACCCTATGAAATGCGAGGGCTGACTGATCCAAAGCCCATGGGGGATAATGCATAATAACACCATCACCCAACTGAGAGGCAAATTGGTCAGCATGAGCCTGAATGTCAGGGGATGGGGGAAAAACACAAATTGGGTTGGGAAGTATGTTCACGCAATAACAAAGGACATGGGTCATAAGATATAGGAGCAAGGGATAAAACATCACATACCTGAGAAATAAAGTAAAAAAAAAACATGGACGGCTGAACAGAATCTTCAGGAAGTGTATGGGAAGACACAGCAAAATCTGGAGGTGGAAAAAGCAATCAAAGTCCTCGTGAATCTGACCAGGTTCCACAGGCTCAGGAGGATGAGGGGTAATGTCTGGAGATAAAGGTTGACCCATATAACATTCAATCTCCCTGTGAATAAACATAGACCAATTTCTCAGGTTGCCAGCACCTGAAGCCTTTGGTATAATGCCTGTCAATTGAGTGACACCTGAAGTAGTGAAATTAACTTCAGAATTCATGGTGATGTAGTCGACAAAAGCATTTGAAGTAAATAAGAAATGCAACTTGAATAAAAGTAAGTGAAATGAATAATGTCAACAAAAAAAACCTGAGTATTTTTAATTAAATTAAACCACTTTGAGAAAATAAGATCTCAAACACTGAGGAAATTTGATTGTTACTGAGTGTTAACAGCAGACAGTGGCCTTTATATACATAGATGCTAAAAAAAACTCATTAAACTGATATTGTATCATCTCTTTTGTCCTTTAACCAAATGGCAATTAATATTTTTAAATACAAGATATTTTCCTTACTATTTTACATAATTACATTAAACTCATCTTTCAGATAACAATCATAGCAATTTAGATAATTAAAAGCCTCAGTTTGTTGAAATATACTGTGAAAAATTTGGAAAACAAATTGCACTTACCAAAGGTTTCAGATTTGTTATGTAAATTTTCCACTTTGGGTCATCAAATTCAAGGCCAAAAGCACTATTAGCATTATGGGTGAGATCAAGAACTTCAACAGTGTTTCCAGGATGATACACTGAAAAATTATAAACCGAAAAAAGAATTTCATTGAATTCTTTGACATCTGTATGAATAATTTGGGATCCTAACTGGTGACTATCTTTGGCTGTGATCTGACTACAAAAAAAAGTTATCCATATATTTACTGGCTGACTATAAAATCTTCCTCAATCTTAGGCTTTCGAGCATGTAAATTGATTTTATACCATCAAATAAATAACTTCATGCTTGTTTCTTTTGAATATTCAGGAAAATCTACACTGCTATCTGCACTAGTAATCCCTAATTTGGAACTGACAGACTAGAGGGAAGGTAGCTAGACAACCGAACCCACTGCCAACTCTTGGACTGCTCTAATAGAATAGTGGAAATTGACTGTCACTCTTATAACAGAACCAAGGTCCAAAAATGTAGCGCATAATTTTGCAGCAATGCGATATGAGCCATGGAATCACAGGTTCAGAGTTTCACACACTAAATTACTAACCACTAGGCCTTCATACCTCAAACAGATGAGGCAACAGGTTAATTTTTTAACTTGTAGAAAAATTTTAATTACAAAATATATTGCTTCAATTGCAAAATGATCTGGGATCCACCCAGCTTTTAACCACAAAAATATCCGTGAGAGTAATTATACTATAATTTTTGATAATGTACGTGTATCTTTACAAAGTTTTTGGACGTAAAATAACAGATATTTTTTATTAAGTTTTAGGATTTCTTAAATAATGTTTTTATCATGCCTTTTCTCTTTTCAGAAGTTGCCTATCCAACATGTAATGTAATTTTGATTTTAAGATTAAAAATACTTTTATGCACCAGAACATTTTCAAATTTCACATGCAAAATCTTTATAGCCTCTGGATAATTATATTTTATCTGTTATTTTCGCTACTGTATCTCTGTATCATTGGGTCGATGTGACTGACCTCGTAACCACCATAAAAAAAAAAAGGAATAAATATAAATTATGCTTTTTCTATTCTAGAATGACTACAAATTATGACTCGAAAACACAAATGTCTAGTCTAAATAGCTTAAATCTCATAATATTATACATATTTATTATTTATATTATATTGATCTTTCAGCCATGCCTGGCTAATTTTACAGAAGTTGCAATGATACAGCAAATGTGCACTCATGTTACTGTATCCAAGAATATAAAACTGACCTTTACAAAGTGACCCATCTTGGCTGTGTTTTAATGGACTAGTATTTTGTAAAATACAGTCACATAACAGTTATAATACATGATATATTTACATACATTATTACTATTTACAAATAAGTTTTTAAAGTTATTTTTCTTAAAACATAGAACAGCAAATAAAGAAGTATAGCAAACAATTATCTCTTCTAGTTACGAACTTTGTACTCGTTTGCTGCTTTCCAAATGTTGCTAAGCCTTATCAAATTTCACACATAGAGGATGTGAATTAAACAATTTTTTTTAGGTTTTGTATATACATTTTTAAATAACAAAAAATCATAAATTACCATATCAATACCATAGAAATCCACTATAATTTATCAAGCTTAGTAACTAAGCTGTATTTGGGTCTAAAACAATATGAAATTGAGCTCACTAAACTCTTACTTTATCACTTGAAATCTGCCATGAAAATAAAGGGTTTCCTGCATGAATAGTTTGCAAAGGCTCAGAGAACTACATGGGGGACATTCTGAGCCTTTGATTGGTTATTCACACATCACAGACAGAGTAGATGTATGTAAACAACTGTTCCCAAAAATTAAAGAGGTAGATGGGGGCCACTGTGTTTGATTCAGTAAATGTAGTGATGTCTCAGCAAATAGAAAAGATAGGAGGTTCTTATTTTAGATTCTAGCTTGTCAATATTGGTAATTTGAGTTCCTAATTCATAAGAAATTATAGACTTTGTATTTGGACATCATAAACATCTAATTTGAACCAATGATGCATCCAACATACCATGTGACACACAAAAATCGATATGTAGGATTTCTTATTTAATATTTACTTTTAAATTAAGAAATTAAGTAACGGATCATACTAAAATTGGAATTATAATCTACAATTTGATACCAAACTTAGTGACATATATTCATAAAATAGTAGTTCAATAAAATTTTGAGTGCAAGTCAACAAACACGATATGACATGGCCTTTGACCCATGACCCGTAGTGATAGAGTTAATCAATTCAAGCAGTTATTGATCAAAATCACAAATGCAAAGCCTACCTTCTTCCTCCACAAGTTCAACTATGGACTTTTTGATCATATTTTAACTTGTTGTAGTTCTCACAATCTGTTTTACTATGTACATAAGTCTAAAAATTTATTATAAGAAATTCTTCACTTTTAACATGTAGGTCTATATTACAGTTATTGATGTTATTTCGTGTAATTATGCAGGGTTAATTGTACTTCTTTACAACCAATTTGGCATAGCTAATGTACACCATCTGATGTCACCATGTCCTAGGAACATGTCACAATTCTTTTTGACAAAGAATATTCATACAGCACAAATTTCAAATGATTGAGAGATGAAGGACTAATAATTTCAAAGAAGAGAGTTTTTAATGTCCTCCATCTATGCAACAAAACTTGTAGAGCAGAGTATTTGGTCAGCAAGTGGCTATAAAAACCACACATCAAGCCAACCCACAGCAACATTCTCATCCATAAGATGAAGATTATGGTTATGATCAAAAACCTCATGTCTAAAAAACAGACACACTATGATAAAATTCAACATGTCTCTTAGTACCATGAACTAGATAATAAACAAGGCTACAAGCTTAAGGACACACCTCAAAATTAAAGGTTATTTTCATGAGAAAGATTGCCAAAGAACCCGTTATTTCAACTATCCTATTTGAATGCATATTTGTAGCATCTTTTATAGCTCCTTTTGTATCTTTGATCTGCTGAAAATGATCTTAGATGCTAAGTTTGTCATTACATGAATTCTAAGATTCACCTTACCATCCTTTTTAGAAAGCAGTTACAACATAAGTTTCAGTGTTGGGAAATAATGCATAATCATAGTCTTCAGAATGAACATAAGTGCTTATAAAATATGAATAACCCTCAGTACACAATTTTTTCATGTCAAAGCATTTCTTTATGATTTTCCTAGAAATTAACTTACTAATTTTAACCAATAAGAATTATTTTCCCTTAATTTTGTAAATTGTAACAATATGCTGTTTTTATTTGGTATTAGTAGAAGTTTACAGCTAGTTTAACAAATAATTTTCAACATTTCGCAAAATATGGAAGTACAATACGTATTAAAATAACATGAAGCGGGGAGATGAGGTGGGGTAAGTAGCTATATTCAATTCATCTATACTTGGAATTACTGTAAGGTAATCGACTTTAATATAATATATTGTTTTAACCATACTTATGAATAAAAATGACATAACTCATATAAAACTGTTTGTAATTTCAAACTGTTAATCAAAACAGTCATTTATAGCAGCTATATGGTAATCATGATGGTAAATAAAATGTTAACATGGAGTAATTATACCAACTAATCTTTGGTATTTTCTCTAAAGTTCATTTTTTTTTAATTTTTCAGTAAAAAATAAATTAATATTCAACATTCAGACAATGATGTATAATTGCATAAATAATATGAGGCCTGTACCTGAAATTGTTTTGCTAAATAGTCTTTGTTAATAAAGAGGTAAGTACTAATTCACATTTCCTTATTCTGCCTCCTGAATTTGACTCGTGTACCAAATGATTTTCATACCCACATCATTATAGTTTTTTTTAGCCTCAGTATAGTGGTTCACAGAACAGCTCTGAGTTGTTGTTTTTTTTGTTTTTCAAGTACAAACTTTTAGCTCATAGCTCCATTATCTCTTGGTCGATTTCAGATCTAATTACAATTTTGGACTCAAAAGGACAAAACCTTTCGATTGATGTATTTGACCATGCCCAAGATCTCATAGATTAATTTACTCTAATCTTGTTTAAAAGAATTTCAATTTGAAGATAGGCTGGTAGGATTCTGATGAGTAATAAAATTGAATCAGGTATACACGTGCCCCATGCTTGGTATTGCTGGCACACAAAAATATAGCTAATAAAAAGGAAACAAGGTCTTACACATTAATTCACTCTAATCCTGCCAAAAAGAATTTCATGTGCTGTGGCTATTGAGGATTCCCTCTTGTTTTACACATGTATTTATATCAAGTTTAGAAAAAAAAACAGAGAAATCAGAAGAGGATTTTAAAAATTTCTAAGTACATTGAAACTAAATACGTTTTCTGATAACAACACAGTGAAAAGCGATTTAAGATTGTTGGTCTGTAAGCCACTCTTCTTTTATCTTTTTAAACATGTTAATCTTATCTTCTTATTATTATAAATGTTCTTGTTCAGCCTCTAATTTCTAAACTAATTTTAATATTATTACATTTTACATCATGATGGCTATATAATAATTAATAAAATTTTTTAAGAAATTTTAAAATGTCAAATGTTCTACTGTATTTTCTATTACACATATCATACTTAATAAATATCTATTCATCAAAATAAAAATGACCAACCAAACATTTCATTCTTATATCGTACCTTTCAATCTGATTCTAAAGATCTAGCATGTTTTAAGTTCACTCATATTTACTTTTCAAGTAAAGACAATGTTCAAAATTCTTACAGTTACCATTCTTAAAAATTTCAGAAAGGTAACATTAAGACTACTTTAGTACCATGGTCATTTCAAAACATAATGCAATAAAAATATTAACCAGTTTTAAAATAATTTCTTTAACCAATTAGATAATTAAACTTCAGGTTTTATCTAAAATTTGATTTAAGGTTTATTATTGAAAGTTGACACTTATATATATAAAAAAAATGCATTCAGAAACTACCAATATATATTTTTTATATACATAGTAATTGTAAATATTACGAAGAAAATGTAAAACTATAAAAAAGAACAAAGACCAATTTTACTGTGTTGTTCTTTTAGTTCCTGCTCCATACTTGATTCAGATAAATGACGGTACTCTGGGGTGGAGGCTACATTCTCATCACCAGGAGGCTCTACAACACCACCAAGAACTTCACCATCAATAGAGGTACTAGAAAAATAGGTCTTGTCTTCCATATCTTTTTGTGGGTGGAAGGATTTCAAGAAGAAAACTTTCTCTGCTGTGGGGTTAGGCCAAGAAAGAATTCCTTTCTTGTCTATACAACAAAGTGCCTGGAAAATAAAATTGGTAATTTGGAGGTTTTCAACTACTTATGAGATTATGATATTTAACCCTAAAAAACTTCAAAATGTGCAAAGAAGTGATGTTAATACAGCCCAAATACGGTCCAAAGTTAATTTAGATTCTCACAAAATTAACAGTCCATATCTGAAGAGTAAAAAACTAAGAATCATCATCTTTTAACATCATACCTTAGGAATGAAACAAACTAAAAGAATAATGTTAGTGTAAGTGAATAATCTGATTACTGTATTTTATTAAAAATGTTCACGGATGGGAACAGAAAATGAAATGCTGAATGTGGGTACCAGGATAAAAAAGCTGGGGGTCTGCCAGATGATTCTATGCACTCTCTGGTGCATTCTAGGCCATTTTGGGGAGTTAAATATCCACATTATTTACTGATAGGATGATCAGTAAACATTGAACTTTTGCCATCATTTCCATATTAACTCATATTCCAATGATCATAAATACAGGAAAGTTAACGTATAAAGTGGTCATTTCATGAAATATCTATACAGATACTATAAACAATGATGAGACCAGTTAAGTACAAAACTGGTAAATTTCAAGAAATATTGAGGCAATACTTGTATAAGTTAGTTTTTACTAGGGTAAATTACTGACCAATCATTTACAAGTTCTTTTTAGGTGGTGACTGACTTCTTGCATTTCTGAAATCCCTAGTTCCATGATTTCACTTTCCTGTATTAGCTACATATAAAAAATAAATAAATGTATACACAAATTATGGTTATGTGCATAAAAAATTAAGACTTTTGGACATTATCTTAAGGTAGCAGTGGCCCTTAAAACTGGGCAAATTTACATTCTGAAGAAACCCAGTTCAATGTGGTAAATGCACGCATTTTCTAAAAACTTTACTGACATTTAAGTGCAGAAAAACTTTAATGACTATTTTCTCAAAATGCAGTTTTCACTAGGGTCACCAATTTATTAGCACGACAACTTCACCATTAAAGCCAATATCAGCATGAAATTTAGCACACTTATTGATATTACATTCTTCTATAGCTTGAATTTTTTAAAAAGTCAAAACTTTTTGCCAATTATCTTGTCATGAGTCTAATTACCACTACTTAAGGCACTAATTAAATTTAATTGCCCATAGCTAATTAACACTGCAGAAAGTTTGCAAAGTCTTTAATTTAAGCTATGAGGATGTTCACAAAGAGCATGTGTACCAATTTTCACATTTTTTTGTCGTTCATAAGTAAAGTTTCTGAGTATCTTCATGTGAATATAACCATAATTGACAAAGTAATAAGATCATGCCTGCCAAGAAAAACTATCAAACAGTCCCGACTTTGGTACAACATGAACTTGTTCTTATCCTTCAATATCTTTGCAAATAAGGTATGTACACATATTATAGTTTTTATTTGCCAAAACTGACCGTGATGCTTCCTAACACCTGCAGCAGGTTGGCTGAACGCCATAAGTGACCTTTCCTGCCCAGTAAGAGGTCCACTCCATTACTCAACAGCTCACTCCAGTGTGGAGAATGGTTACTCATGGGTGGGGGAACGTCTTCTGTCTCTTCAAAGGGATCCAGTTCTTTAGGCTTAGGCTATGGGATGAAAATCAGTACACGGAGTTTAAACAACAACCATTAAATAATCATATTTATTTCTATGTTTATTGTTCTGTCTGATCATAATTTGAAGTAAATTATAGGCAACAGTTCAAACACGTGCGTAGAAATCTGTCTATGTATCTATGCGTTAATACTTCTTATAAAAGCTCTATAAGATCGTCCAAATGTTAGCACATTCATTACCAAAAAAAAAAAAAAGGATGGCTAACCAAGTACAATGTTTCTTTTTGAAATGACACTGATTTTCAATTTTTCTCCTAATTAAGGATACCACTAAACAATCAAAAACTTCTACATGAGTTTTAATTACAGAAATAGTGTTTAGATTATATAAAGTTCTAAGTATGATGAAAGCACGTTTTCTTTGGAAAAGCTTAGTAAAACTCGGTGAATATATTTGCAACTAGAACTAAGACTGACAAATGCTAATGACAGAAAAATGAAGAAAAAAATGGATAACCCTATAAAAAAAGAAGCAGTTGTGAAACTGTATCCTAATCAACCGTTACCTTACAGTGGTCAGGATTCAAATATTATAACTAAACCAAGCAAAAGATGTTACAAAAATGGCTACTGACATCTAGTCTGTAAAACTGGATCCTAATTGACCATTTCCTTACTTTGGTCAGGATTCAATTATCTTAACTAAATCAAGCAACGGATGTTACAAAAATGACTACTGACATCTTGTCTGTAAACCTTTTATCTCAAAATTTTATATAAAAAAAAATCAGTTTCAGTAGTACTTCGAGCACACTCTGTGGACAATGAATAACATTAAGAGTTTGATGTTGTCTGTTGGGTCTTGCTTAATCCTTGTGTACTAATTCAAGAATAAAACACATGAAGAATCCCAAAAAAACACGACTCAGCTTACACTTTTCCAATAGTGAAGCTGCCAAAGGTGGTGCAAGTGTATGAGGTACATTCTCATGACAGAAAATGGTTAATTTATTTAAAAATTGTGAACAACGTTCAGAATTGTACCTGAATGATGATGCCAAACATGTCCACCCCAAGATTATGCATTTCAAAACAGGTGGAAAAAGACTCTTCCAAGATGGTATACAACAATCCACCAAACCTATGGTATCTAAGTTGGTTAAGAGACTATGGCAGCATCTTTGGTATCTTCCTTGACCAGTATAACTGACTCTCTCTTAAGATCAGAATTTTTGGAATGAAGTTAAATGCTATATTCAGACCATAATCCTTTGCCTTCATTTATCAACTAATTACACAAAATACTTATTGACAATGGGCTGCAATCAAACAAAACAACAACATTTGTTATGGTGTGAACAACTTTCCCAAGCTGGCAAAGTATGACTATAATTAATTATACCTGTCTTAATCTAGTCCCTTAAAGATTTTCAAGAACTGGAAGAGTGTATAATAATAATAGTATTCCCAACACATTATATTTGTCATGTCCATTGCCAAGGACACATTCCGCTCAATCCAGAGCTCTTCGGGCCAGCTGAGACACAACAAACACAGTAGTGGTTAGAACACGATATACATAAGCCATTTGTTATAACAACAATTGTTATGGTGTGAATGACTTTTCTAAATTGTTGTTGGTATTCAAGAAATTTGGGAAAACATCCAAATGTATTCTTAGTTCATTTTAACAAAATACTACCTGAAGAAATTAAAAATTTGTCATTAAGTTTTTAAAACTTAACAGAGTTTAGGATCTATTAGAAAACTATAAAAGTTTAACAATTAAAACCAGAGTTCAATTTCAGAAGCTCAAGAAGTATTCTATGGGACTACAAGTTTGATATATGAGACTTTGAATATAGAATTGATTAGATAAATCATAGACAAAAAAAAAGAAAAAAAAAAGATATTTTCTGAACCTGCACTTCAATCTCGTAATCAATACACGGTATATTTCAAAATAAAGTTTTAAAAATGAAAAGCACACACCTGAAGTGATTTAGACAACTGAACCATGGTAAACAACCTGGATGTGCCACTACAGTTCAGGAGAAGCCAGCATACAGGTAGAGTAACTGGTAGGAGTGGAAGAATTGCTACAACAGGGTGTAGCAAAATTATTTCTGGCCATCGAATCATGTCACGTTCCAAGTAGACACAAGACAAGACTTTTACCACAACTGTCAAAAGCTGAGAAAATTTTGTGATTATATTCAATAATTTTCATGTTGTCTTCTAAACATTATTATAAAAATAACAGGTTCGGTTGTGTTGATAGTATATCTTTTAACTGTTAACAAATTACACTCTATTAATGTTAGACTAACTATGTATATTTTACTAAAAATCTTGATAACTGGTTCTCAACTCTTGACAAAATATCAGCCTATAACACCTTACCAAATATGTTCTTGACTTTTTAGTTAGCCAAGCCGTAGTTTTTGTTCAACTTGGAGCATGATGGTAGGTAAAACAAAATATGCAGTTTAGCTAACTAATGAATGAATATTTGCCATAAAATTATTATCAATGCTATAAGTGTATCTACCAGTTTGGCCACCAATTTTGGTTTCATTCCTTTAAGTCACATGCTCAATCCTTTTTTGGCTGCACCTTTTTTTTCACACCTCAGGTGTTTTTGATTAGATACCATGACTTTTTGTCAATATACACCAACAAGCCACAGCAAGTAAGAAAGTGACACTCGATAGTAACCAACATTAGCTTTAGGATCAAAACCTTATTATTCAGAACAGACCTATACTTTACAGAACCAACCAGATTTGAAAAATATATTGGCATTGATTAATGAATAATAACTGTCCACCCATACGATTCTTTTGAAAACTTCAGCTAGAAACTGCTAATTTAGTTTGCTTGGCCTAACCAATATTTATGTATCTTCACACGCTTTTACCCTATAGTTTTGCTGCTCTAAATCAGCCATTTTCAATCCAAATGACAAAAACTAAAAGCAGCCTACTTTTACTCTTAAGTGAAGCTGTATCAAAAATTTTAGACCAATAGCTCATGTGACTTTTTACATAGACATGCACAAAAATTTTGGTTAAAATTGAGTGTTTTTTGTGGAATAACTTGGCACATGTGGCTTATATTTATACCAAATTTAACACTTAATTGTAGGTTGTAAAGATCTATGAGTGAACCACATTTGAAAAAATATCCATAAAAGTATGTTTTTCTATCAAATAAAGTTTCAGTGCAAATAAGAAAGAAAAAAGGACAAAATTCAATCAAAATTGGAGATTTTATATTTCATGTATTTCTTGATGAATTGTTTGAAATTTGGTACGTGAAGAGCACATCCAGTAAAAATATGTGGTAGTTTGGATTACCCCAGTCCGAGGTACAGAAAGTGGAAATTGCTAAACTATCACTCTTGTTAATAACACACAGTGTGTCCTGCAGGTTGTTTTGGTTGCACAACACACTACCATGTGTTTTTATATGAAACTTATTTACTACTGCCTGTGCATGACTTTGACATAAATACAAGTAATAATTCTGTCTAGCAAAGAACATATTATTCATTATGTATACAAATTATTGTCAAACATTACTACATCTTTTTTTGTATAGAAATGTATATAAACTTAATCCAACACAATGAATTTTCTCTGAGACTGTTCAACTAGTGCCAACGTTCTCTGCTTGTATATTATTCTGGTTCATTGATTTTGGGAGTTTATTGGCACAAAGCAACGTGGCTATCTGTGCCAAACAACCAGTATGTTATTCTAACCAGACATCAACATCTCCCAGATACCATTAGATTTAACAAGAACTGTGTTTTGCTAGACCTTGCTGAAAAAAATATCAAAGTTTAATAAAGCATAAAAATGTCACAAGATCCTCGTTAGCTTTGTGATAATACTTACAAGGACACATGGAATTATCACAGCTTCTAGGTACCATAATACCACACCATGCCGTTCCTTGTTGAAGAAAGATACTGGCCGATCAAGCGACTCTTCTAAGGCTCCCCTGAAAGTTAAAAAAATATACAGACTACAATTAACAGAATTGAGAAAACAAATTTGTTGCTTATAATATTAAAATATTATCTATATAATGATTAGAAGCAGGCTTATAAATGTAATTAGAAGTTAATTTTTGTGGCTATATAACCTTCCTCTAAACTTCTCCAATTGTAACTTGCAAGTTTATAACAAATTTTCTTTTGATTACATTAAAAATTCAACTTATTTTTACTAATAAATAATCTCAATTGTTAAAATTATCACAATCTAGTAAACTGGGAAGAGTAAACAAAATTATAAACATTATATCTACAACATGGGCATATTACTTTTGCACATATTAAAAGGAAATAACAGTAAACTATATTTTGGTGGAAAAAACCTGCATTTTTCATAGAAAGACTTTGAAATCAAGATATATACGGAATAATGAATCTAAGTATACCTATTTCACATATATTAACATTTTCTCTCTCTCACTATATATATATATATATAAACATGTGTGTGTGGGTGGGTGCACAAAAGAGTAAAACAGGCTATGTAATGATGCAATTATCGAACAATTTGATAAACAAAAACAAAAAATCCAGGACCCTGATCTAATCAGAGTTTCATTAAATTTCCAGGGCTCAAGTCTTTCCATTTTTGGATCTTTTACCAAGTATATTCTTTATTACCTTTGCAATGTAATTATCAGGTCTACACAAGCCACATCATGTTATCTGTAAAATTTTCAGATAGGTTTTTCACACCAATATTTTACCCTTTATCACCATTTTTTTCTTTTTGATTACAATTAACATGGAATGGACCATAAAATAATGCTTTTTTTTGTTAATGAAAAGCATAGCAATTCTACCTAGTGAATTTTAGAAATAGATATAATTTACACAAGTTTTAATGTAACATTTTCTAAAATGTACTGTCATGGTGAGTCATAGCTAGCTTGGTGGTAATGACAAAATAACCATAGAATAACGAATAGGATCCATATGGATCCCATAGGCATTTTTAACACATTTTCATAAATTATTCATGTACCATGTTCTTTATAGGTCCACGACTTTGTTGGTCTGAGTCTTTTAATTTTATTTACCATCACTATTAGAATGGATTCCTCTCATTACTACTGAGGTCCAAAAATACATAGAAAATAAATCATTTCACACAATTTTTTGATCAGTTTTTAAATGAGTATTGTAATAGGCAAAAACATTAATTATATTATGCCATATGTGGACTCTACTGGTAGTGAATGGCATAAAAACAGGTCAGTACATTGAGAGTTGAATTTAAGAAAAAACAAACAACTTCTCTGGTCTCTTTATGTATCCCATGCCACAACATTTCCTCACAATCTGTTAATAATATTGAGGTGATAACTAAAGAGTTTACCAATCAAATGATTATTATCACAAGTCCAAACATAAATCTACCACTAACACAGGCTTGATTATATAGATATAGAGTCTAAGATAAAAGCTACGTCTACAAATTCATTTGAATAAAAGATTTGTTTCAATTACAAAAACAACAACATATTTTGGGAGAAAGATGTAATATGAAAAGTAAATAAAAAATTATGAGTTTGATAACCCAACAGAAAAAAGTATCCTCTTATTTCTTTTTTTTTAAAGAATGTCTTGCAAAACAGTTTTACAAAACAGAAAATGTAATAATTTCTTTTGTATACTTATATAATAACAGTGGCATGTTAATAATATTCATTTTTACTGGACAGATAATGTAACATTCTCTCTTGTACAACTCTTGGGGAGCAGATCAATGTTCTATGTTGAAGATCTATCATGCCCTCATACGTTCCAAGCTGGACTACAGGTCTATGGTTTATGGTTCTGCCAGGCCCTCTGCCTTGAAGATATTGGGCCCTGTTCAACATCTGGGGTTTCAGCTCTGCACGGGAGCTTTCTGCACTTCATCAGTCCAGTGTCTGTACACTGAGTCCGAAGAACCTCCTCTTCACCTTCAACGTTTGCAACTTTTTTTTACAATATGCTACCAAGCTTCGATCCTTACCACAACATCCCACTTGGGGTTGTGTCTTACTACCTCAGTGGGCTGTTCTCTTTCAGAATAGAAGGTTTGCCATTCCTCCTTTTGGCCTTCATATCCAGGCACAGCTGGCTGAATTGGGTCTGTCATTAGATGACTTTGCTGAGTCCGACGATCAGCCTATCCTACGATGGTTCATTACCATCCCTACCTGTGACCTTTTTTTAAGCCATATGAGGAAGGTGGATACTCCCAAATGGAAATATCATCTTCTCTTTGCCAAACATCTTTAGAACCATTCGTCTGTTCCCATTTTTACGGATGGTTCAAAATCAGGTGAATATGTGGACTCTGCCATGGTTTGTTGTGGCTCAGTAGTTGTTCACAGGATCCCCTCTACAGTTTCTGTGTTCAATGCCGAGTTGCCATTTCTCTTGCCCTGGATCACATAGAAGCTAAGCAGTACACTAACTGTACTATTTACACTGACTCTCTTAGCTCTCTATTGGCCTTGGAATTGCTTAATGTAAATTCTCATCCTGTTCTCATCACTATTCAGAAATGACTGGTCCACTTTTCACTCTTTTGCATTTCTATCCAGTTTTTCTGGATACCTGACCATATCGGTATTAGCGGAAATGAGCTTGCTGACACTGCAGCTAAGTCCATCTGCTCTGGTGTTGTCACAGCCTTGCCTGTTCCATTTATCGACTACAGTCCTATGGGACAGTTCTGCAGTAGTTGTCAATCGATTTGGGGTGAGCAACTTCATAACAAGCTTTACCAGATCAAGCCTACTTTTGTTTTTGGCCATCTAGTTTCTGTAAGGATCAAAGAGGAAGTTACCTTGTGTAGGCTACGCATTGGTCACAGTTCTTTTACTCATTGTTTTCTTTTATGTGGGACTGATCTGCCAATGTGTGGCCTTTGTGACATTCAGATCACAATTGTCCACATTTTACTTTTGTGCCACCGTTATGAATGTAAGCAACATCACCATTTTAGACATGTACTATCTAAGGGTTTACCCCTGATGTTGTACGGTGTCATTGGTGATGGTGACACTGTCCGACTTGATCGCGTTTTTAGCTTTTTAAGGGCCATTGGCATTTTTACATTTATTTGAGATTTTTACCAATCTCTTGGACATTTTTTAGCTTTTAACTCGATTTATTTTTACTTTTTTATTCTTACACCAGTGGTTTGATGTAGATATAAACTCCAATAAACCAAACAAACAACTCTTGTACAATCAAATAACATAGTGGTATTTAATAATATTATATTTTATAACTTGAATATAAATACTACACTAGTATGTTCATAATTTTTTAAGTTTTACAGGACAGACAATGGAACACTTGCTCTTGTATAATCAAAAAACATAATCATATATTAATAATATTCTATTTTATAATTTGGTATGCTAATAATTTTTCAGTTTTACCGGTTTGAGTTCATAACTTGCCATTTCATGATCACAAAAAACAACAAAAAAAAACAGTGCTTTGGTACACCTCAACCTTTGTTCTACACTATAAATTTCACTTTGATTTTACCAACTGTGAACACTGGTGTATGAGAAGCTTATCAATTCCTATGAACATTAATTATTTGAAAAACCTATTGCTTTAAGCAGCGTTCTCCTCTATCACAAAGTATTATTCTTATCTATTATTCATGATATTTCTTTCTTACTGATCTATAAATTTATCAAAGAATAATTCTAACAAACAATTAGGTTACCCAAACATAAAAGTGTAATTTTTTTATGTAAAAAATTCTGACCTCAATATTGCAGCATATGGTGTTTCTAGAACCTGAAATTTTGCTGGGGGTAATGGAGCTCGAAGACGGGCAGTGGTCAAAACTTCAGGATTGTCCTGGGTAGCTGGAGCATAAATTTCTCCTGCTGATAACTCAACTGTCTCTAATTCCTGAATATCCATGTTATAGTAATATGAAAATCAAACATACATAACACATTGTAAAGTATATTTCATGATAATGTAAAAAAAAAATTATAAGTTCCAATTAATCAGAACCAAAACTTTATTTACAAAAGAATCTAATTTTGAGAAATGCGATCTTAGGAAAAAGAGAGAATTCACAGACTTAAAATAGGCTTAGTGTTGTTTTCATCAATGTTAATTTTTTTCTTAAAACGATTGACAGACTGAGAATTCACAGAGTTAAAATAGGCTTAGTGTTGTTTTCATCAATGTTAATTTTTTTCTTAAAACGATTGACTACAGCTTTACATCTACTTTTAAAACACCCCTAACAGATATGAAAGATTATATCTTTCTTGATATAATTAACTTTTTAAAGATATAAGTAATATATGGACCTTATTTTGCCAATCACAAGTATAGGCATTAATTCTATTTGCATGGGTGGGCTTCAAAGTGTACATACCAAAAACTTTTACAGAGTGCCATTCAATCAACTATTCATTTTACCCAACATTACTGATTTAGTGACAGTTCGTGGTAGAGGAGAGTAAATATCACATAAGGTATACAGGGGTACTGAAAGAAATTGCAGATGTGTATTTTGGACATTCTAGAGGCTATGAAATATGCAAAATGTATGATGTACAAAATTATTTTTATTCTTCACATGGACACCACCAACCAAACCAACTTGTCAGAGTTTGAGTCAGGCTGACATCGTTGACTCACAGACATATCTTGCATAAAAATACTTTTGTAACACATCTGATTTTTTTACGTTCAACAAACTTGTACATTTGACTAGCAGCTTGCCACATTTTGCATAAATACATGTAGTATATTCAGAAAAACAGTCAACCCTCCTTTTCCAATAAATGGTTGTCCAATGGATCGACCATGTGGACATTTAGTTAAATAAAGCTCTCTTTCTCTCAAGATCATTATGATGCAGTTAAATCTAAAGATACATTAACCTAATACAATTTGTTAAATGCTGCAGAAGGAAGCCTTCTGCAAGAATTAAACAATATAAGAACTTTTTCTCAAGAGTCACCAATTATTCAGCACCTAATGCTTACTTATGTAATAATGAGTGACCCAAGAAAGGCACATGAAACAAGAGAATATTCCTGATAATGACTCAAATAAAAAATACTTTCCTTAGCCTTGAACCCATCTTTTTTAAAACACATACCCAACAGTACATAACTGAGGGTTCAAATTCGACATGGGCTTCTTACAGTAAAGCACATACACAAGACTAACCTCCTCTACACAGCAACAATGGGCAGGAGCATGGTGACCAGGTCTCAGGGTAACGACGTCTCCAGCCACCAGTAGACAACATGGTAAGTTGACTAGTTGACCATCACGATGTGTCCACTGAAGAGAAATACAAGGAGACTGGGGCATATGAAGGTGAGGATAGTTCTTTGCTGTCCACTTCTGTTTCTCCATACATTCTGATTAAAAGTTCAAATACATATGCATACATACATGTCCATTTATGCAGATACAAAGAAAAACCCAATATCATAACGCAACAAGTCTTTAGAATATATTCATGCAGGTTATAACTATTAACATTATTCATATGCAGCTAAGAAATGGTTTCACTTTTTGAGTAATGTTTGTAAAGTCAAAATACACAATCTATATGGATATAACTATCTAAAGAACAGATAACATAATTACCAAATACTTGCCCATATTGTCTTTCATTCCTTCAAGCTATTCACTTCACTAATTTGTAATCATGAGAATATTACATAATAATTAATAATCACTACACTTTTTCTAGGTAAATTACACATTAGAAACTACAAGATCCTTCATATTTGTCATTCCCTACAAACCAGACCATGAAAAAGTTTAATTCTCCTAAAGAGAAGAACAGAAGTTATGACTCTGAAATGATATTTTGCCACCAAGAGTTAACATACTGTTAAATTAACTCATTGAAAACAATTCACATACAACTTAAAAATTATGCTGTTTAAATGACTAAAGTTAACAAATTCCAATTAACATGTTCTACCACATACAACATATTACTTCCCAAGCCCTTGTAGTTCTTTCCCAGAGTCTAAACCTACCCATAAATATAGCATGTGGAAAACCAACTATTACAATTATGTCAAAAGAAAATATTTTGTAAATTGGAAACAATCACAGTATAAAGCATTCTTAGCATTAAGAAGAAACATACAAATTGTTAGAATCTGATTAGATGTAAACCTGAACTATCTTGTAAATCACAAACATGTCATCTAGATTTTTTTCTCTATGCTATTATCAAACATTATTTACTGTAAACGTTTTTAATTTCAATAGGGCAGTGCACCATGTAATACAGTGATGAAAACAGAAGTACTACTGAGAAAACTGTGTGTTTTCTTATAGCAAAGACACATTGGGCTATATGCTGTGTTCACTGAAGGTAATCAAACCCCTGATTTTAGCATTGTAAACCCAAGGACTTACCGCTGTCCCACCAGTGGACCAGAGAATATTAGTTAAACTTTTAAAAATGATTTCTATGCAGTAACAGAGGCAAGTTGTGGTACCATGGGTAACATGTTTATTGGCTATATATATATATGTGATTTTGAAATGGTTTCCAAATCATTTGACAGTACAATTCTGCAACAGGTATACTTACAATCAGGGGGAAAATACTAGTGCCATTTCAGAAGAAAAATATTCATACAAGAGACTGTTTGATGATGTAAAGCTAGAGGTTATTACATTTTGAAGAAGGGAGCCTTCAGTGTTCTGTACAGAAGTAAAAAAAAAAAAACTACACACAGATGCTACCGATGAAAATGCACCAAGAACCAATCATAAGCAAAACCTTCATTCACAAAATCCATGATTCAGAAGGATAACACTGTAAACCATTGTGATGAAGCTCAGCATACCTCTCGGTACCATTGACAAAGATGTAAAGTTGTCGAGGTTTACAACCCAAATGTTTACAAGCTTCCAGGGAAACAAACAGTTGTTTTCATGAGGAAGAAACTGGATACATACCATTCATGTCCAAACAACAATCTTGTCAAGTCCCTCATGCAGCTCCAATGGACTTTTGTGCCTTTAGGTTGGTCTAAAGTGTTGAAGGAAGCTGACATTTAAGTATAGTGGAGGGTCTGTGTAAACTGCATAGTTGAGCAATAATGCATAATCAAAGCTCTTGGTTTGAGGAAGATTAATAATAAAGTACATAGTTCCAAATTCAGCATTGAAGCTGTAACATCATTCTTATAAAGTGTGATCAACCTTCTGTAAGTGATAATAATAAGGAAAAGTTATGGGTGCTACCCAACAGTGTTCCTGTACTTTTATTATACATGTGGTCTAACAAAATTGCTGATCTTCTGATTGCATCCAAACAATGACATTGATATATACTCAACCAAATGGATTTTTCTTTATTATTTTCTGTATATACAAGAACCCCAAGTGTTTTAAACTGCTGATTATCAAAACTCTGAAAAAAAAAGCAGTTACACATCTTTAATATTTTTCACAAATATCAGATTTTCAAACATCTTACAAGCACATATACTGCTGACTTTGGTACTTGTAACTATAATGTACAGGTTTTTAACTATGTATCTCTAGTATTTTGTTTATGTGAATTAAAATTATTTAGATAAAACATAGGTGTGCCCAAAGTTGAAAACTGTGCAGTCACAAAATTAGAAGACCAACCTCTTATAGCAGCCAGCAAAGTTTCTCCTTTGGTCAGCATTTCTCGCTGTCTCAGCATTGCATCCCATCCAACAAGATATGTGTTCGTTACAAGAAGTAAGAGAAGGAAGAAGCTCTCAATTACCAGTGTAAAAGACCTGTAAAAGTGTTGTAAAACTAATACAAATATGTTTTTCATAAAGAACCCTCATATAATTTAACACAAGGATACCTTAAAGTATATTAAGTCAAAAGACTGAGATTGCAACAAGTGTAGCATTTACAAAATTCTTTATAAGCCCAAATCAAATGAATTTTTATTAGCTTAGCTGCAACTATTCTTTGAAGAAAAAAAATATATAGACAAGCCATAAATACAAAATTAACCACTGTCACAAGATATCAACTCCAATTTGTAATTCTTACAACATGTAAATAGGTTAGTATTTTGTTGGATTAAATCTCTTAAGAAAAGGAACACAATTTCATTGGGGAGACATTTATTGGAGATCCATGGAACTTAGGTCTCTGAACAGCCTTAAGGATTTTTTGAAGGTTAAAATGTAAAAGAGTCTATTTTAAGAGCATTTGCCAAGACTATTTCCTATACTATTTAATAGTCACTCAACTATTTAAAAATATAATTTTATTATATTAACTGCTGTTTGTAATTAACTTGGGAATTGATGATGAGGGTTCCTACGGACTTCATTGGCTATTTAAAAAACATTTTTCCAAATTTTTCCATACAAGTTGCCCGTGGGTCTACAACTTTTTTGGCTCCTCAATATATGGGTCACACACACACACACACACACAAAAACAATAAACTGTAAACAAAAATGCTATCAATTTTGTAATTAATTCCACTAATTACTGCTAGGATTTCTTACACATTTCACACAATCTTTTAAGTTATTTAGTAGAATGAGTGGTGTAAAAGGCAAGAACATTAGATTACTCAATAGTATGAAATACAGAACCTCACTGGTAGTAAACAGTATATGAATAAGGCAGTAACTTGCTAATTTATTCCAAAATACCAGCATTCTAATGTTTACATGGCAAGGGTATTGTCAGATTTTATCACTTTGATTTCTAATACAAACTGACTGCTTGAGTACATTTTGAACAATGCCAGAATTAATAATACATCTCAATTTAACAGTAAATTGTTAAAATTTAGAAGAAATGTACATTCAGGAAAATTAAAGCCATTATATTTTTAAAATACACATTTTGACACTATTATCGATTTTAAAAAACACTCCTTCAATACATTGATCTTTACAACTCTTTATTAAGAATTACAATCTCTCTTTTTCTCTAATCTTACCAACTAAATGAACCACTGCACAAGTGTTATTTAAAAACATTGCTTAAGTAATAATAATGCAGCAGAATAATCTAAAAGGAACTTTCCTCCAAATATGGTATCTATGAGAGTATAAAGTATCCATTAAAGTATCACATTAATGTAAGTGCCTCATTAATATATATATATTGAATGTTTTTGTAGTTTTTAATATTTTTATACTTCAAATGATGTACACAAAGAGATAGATGACCAGGAACTAAAATATGAAAGTTAACATTTTTCTAAATTGAAAATGTATTTCCAATTATACTTACCTCTTCTCACAATAATAGCTATTACTTGATTGCCAGGGTTTCATCTTTGCCCATCTAAGCATTGGTCTGACTTTTTCTCTCTTGCATCAGTCTTTTATACTCCACTTAATTGCAGTTGGTGATATATGTCTCGTGATACTCTCTACGTACATCAGTGTGCCCCCTCTATCCTGGTACTGTAATTAAGCATTTCATTCAGATAATTTTATCCCTTTTTTGAGACTTATACTATCCCTGTCTCAAACACTGGCCGTGTATGCCGTACTCCACCAAAGAAACAGAACTCATCCAGTCTGGAATTATGAACATTCATCTTCACTCCCCAACCGAGTGGGCAAGGAGCCTTCTGCTTCCCCCAGAATTACGGGGAGGATGTGGAACAACTGTGCTCAACCAAGGACTCAGGATGGGACCACTCTGCATTCAAAATTATAAGGAGATAGTGGACTTCCTTCCATGAACAATATACTGAAGTGATACTAATCAAAACAAAGGGCCACGCACACCCCAACCGGATAGCTGAGCATCAAATCTGAACTGGTATTATGAGTAAGCTCCTGCATAGGCTGGCATCACTCCATCCAGGGACCTGGGTGGAAAGCCCCAACTTTGCCCCCTTCTCCAAGAATGGAGGAATTCACTCTAAAACACCAATGGGGAGTCCTGAAGAACAGTGCTCTGGAAACAGTGCAATAGGTGAACCAAGTTCCCTAAATTTTTAAAAGCAAACTGACCCCGATTTATTCAATCTAATGATTGGCAGGGATGGGCAGGATCCCCTTTAGCTTTACTCTTGATAGTCCATGAGTGGAGGTCCAGTATAGTATGGTAATACCACCTGGTTAGCTCTTAGGTGGTCTCATTTCTACAGAGCCTGTTGCAACCAGTAGTAATTATAGTGAAATAACAGTTGCTAGTGCAGCATACCTGTCTGGGCAACATTCAATGTAAGGGACCCTGAAAGATAGAAATAAAAATATTCACCCTTCTGGATAATCTAGCAGAAATAGTTAAGATAGTTACAGGGGGAAGGCAAAACCCTCAGATGAAGAGACTGCCAGATCAGACAAATAATGTGAGATAAAGGTATTGGAGAAGGTAAAAATACCAGTCTGCACAGTGACCTCCAGCGGGCAATTCGACCAGGCTGCTAAAGACATAGAAAAACCTGATTAGATGTGACTCACAGAAGATACCTCACCTTCAAAGAGAGCCCAAAATAAAGTGTTGTCTAGTATTTCTAAAGGTACGAGTGGAAGCAACAAAACCTTCAAGACACTCACTGAACATGCCCCAAATCAAAATCTAATAAGACATAGAGAGAAAGAGTGAGCTGATGAATTGGAGAAAAGGACTGAAACCCCTTTTCTGTCTGACAGAGTGTTGGGTAAGAAGAACTTGTCTGAGAACATAGAGAGAAGGTGGTCTGTGTACAAACAGCACAAATCACTCTGACTGGTGATGTCCGTAAGTCAACAGCCATGAAAAACAAACCTGCAGATAAAGGGAATTGATGGCATACAAGAGTTAGAACTGTGAGTCCTTAAACTTACCAATGACCCACAAGGGGGCTGAAAATCCAACAAGCTAACAGAAGCCACAGGAAAAAGTGAATCTAGATTATTTTCAAAATGTCAAGGATTGCCCTCAAATGCAGCCTCAGAGCCCCCTGGAGTACCACCACAGAGCCAAAACAGAAGAAAAAAATCAATATTTTTATTATTATTATTGTTAAAATATCAACTAGATAACATGATACCATTCAAAATATCTCCAGATGATCGTAATACTGGGAAATCCATTAATGATGCTTTATCAAGAAAAGTGATAAAATTATCTGCACAGTACCAGGATAAAGGGTGCATTGATGTAGGTGGAGAGTATCATGAGTCATATATCACCAAGAGCAATTGTGTGGGATAAAAAGGACTGGAGCAACTGAAAAAAATCAGACCAATGTTTAGATGATCAAAGATGAAATCCTAGAGTCGAGTAATAGCTATAGGTGGAAAGTGGAGGTATGTATGTATGTTTTGGAAACAAATGATTTAAGTTTGTCATCATTTGTCAGCTTGTTCTCATTATGCCTTTTTGTAATGTGACTAAATAAGCACTTACTAATTTAATGCAACAACTGAATAAATAGCAATCATAAAACTATTTTCCCAAAATAATGTACATATTTGAACATGTATAACAAAAAAATAATAAAACTTATAAAGCACTGGGGTCTAGGATTTAATCTTCACTGAGTAAAAGTTTGAAAAAAATATTAAAAATAGAAAATCTATAAGCTTGTGTTTAGACATCAATTAACTCTCAAACACTTGAGTGCATCAATTTGATGCAAGTGTCATACAGTTTCTTTTCATACATTTAAAAAAAGCTATTGGATGAAATTGTTTGAAGCTTGAAATGATCTTTATAGAGATCATGTAGATTCTGCAAAATATTTTATTTCTATATGTGAAATTTGTATGAAGCGACAACTTTGAAAAGGAGAAAAAATTTCACTATGACAAGTTTTTAAAGAAATAATTAAAAATGCTTATTTTGATTGTAATTTCAATTACTGATTTCTTTGTCTTCTTACCTTCTAATAAAGCTCTCCATTAAAATCTTTATTTTATAAAACTGTGAATTTGATTTTTGTTTGGATTAAAAAAAAACCTGTACACAGTTTCACTGTCCTTACAAATACTTGCTTGCAATGAAAATAACTTCTTTTATGACACCAACATTTTAGCAAGCTGAATTTTAATAAATTATCAATCAGAAGGTTTCATTTAATACATGTGATAAGATTTAAGCTAATTTTATACTCATTTATATATATATATATATATTTTTTACATTTCTTCTCAGTGGTATTCTTTGTCTAATCAAGCAGTTAGTTAGACTGACAAGACCTAATGTAAACATGTCCTAACAAACAGAGCCTTGTCAACAAAATGAAATGAAAAGTATAAAATGATCGAGTTATTGCCTACCTCATATTGTTCCATAAAAAACATTTCTTTTCCTATCATATTGCAATTTCATAATTCAACTGAAGTACAAAATAATAAAACAAAACTATTTGCTAGCTTAAATAAACAAAACAGGACTGTAATTATGGTGGAAGTTATTCGAAAACATTTTATATTCTAGCAACATATCACAAAGATAAACTTTTGTCACTTTGCTTGAATCTTTACTTAAGTCTGCTAAAATGGTAACCACATTGGCTTATACACATGAAAAGAACAACAAAAGAGCTCACAATACAATTTAGATCACTAGCCTACGACTTCTCAAAGCTGAAATATAGGCGATTACATCATACTATGAACACTGAGGTTGAGAAATGGTGATTGATTAAATCAATAAAACTACACTTGTATTGAAGTTATAAATTCCAAATTAGCACTATTTTGTTCAAAAACATTTTGATTTCCCTCTAGGGGACCTTGAATACCATATTATGTTGACGAAAAATCCAGGATATTCAAAAAATACTAAAGTTTTTGTTTTTTCAGAGTTTGCTGAAATCAAC